TCTGAATCTTCTCGATTTCTTTCACTAATCTCCTTTCATAAATATGCTTTGCATAAAAACATGTGATTTTGTTTACGCTGAAAATATTAAATACACATTTCTATGTGAAGATTCTGATAATTTGGTGTTATTTTGTAGTGGAGAATCGTTGTTTTGGGCAGGCAAAAAGTTTGGAAACGCTATATTCTTGCAATGTTATAATATTCAGGTTAATAGCAGTAGTTTTGCCAATGGTTGTCATAATTGCTTAATGTGAAACGTAGTTTTATACATTAAGCTATGGAATAGTAAGATATATATATATATATATGTTTGTTCAGTGATTTTAGAGAAAACCAGAAAAGATAGAGAGTTCGGGTTTTCGGCATTCGATAGGGCATAAAAAACCCTCCAGACGTATTTTTTATTTTCCCCATAAGTGCTCCCCATTTAATTTTTTCATTCATGGACCCTCTTTTTTGGATTCCACTTTGAAAAATATTTCGATTCCACTTTGAAAAATATTTCGATTCCACTCACCATTTATTGAGTGGATAACGAATGGATTCGGGTGGAATTACGTTTCTCCGCAACTTTATTGGGTGGATAAACGATGGAATAAATGAGTTTTACTTCAGTGTTAATTTGATTACTTTGGATCTAGATGAAACTTGTTGAAAAAAAGTTGGAGACACCCGAGGCACCACATTGTTTTAGATTCCTTATAAAATTACCTTTCGAATGGTATATAAATTATGGAGTTTCCGGCAGGTTTGATGGCATTTTACGCTGGCCGTTTGGCCGAAATATGAAAAATTATGAGAAAAATCGGCTTCCGAATCTTATAGCAAGCAACCTAGTTCTATGATTTTGATGAAACTTTGCCAGATGATAGCTCTTGGAACCCTCTTTCCAACGGTATATAGCTTATTAGCCAATCGAACTTGTGGATGTGTTTCCCAGGTGGCCGTAGATTGACGCTAGTGATATATCAATGATACTATTGATAGTTCGATATGAATAGCGTGCTATTGGTACATTTGAATTTTATGACAACAACAATTTGGCTCTACAATATTTTGCCGCAAATGTAGAATCTAAAATATCAAAATAGAGCTCTATATTTGAAGGAATATATTGAAGAGAAATAATTGTTGTAGTCACAAAATTGAAATGTACCAATAGCACGATATTCATATCGTACTATCAATAGTATCATGATATATCACTAGCGTCATCACAGCGGACGGCAGTTCGCGCGAGTGACGAAACCACATTAGTGTGTTGAAAAGTCGAACTCGCTATATATACACGTAATATACGAAATCCAGACCTAGAAGGCCGTTGGCCCCGGGTGATGTATGGTTGGAAAGCCCTTGGGCTATAGATCAAGAAAAAATATAAAAGTTTGAAAATCGGTCCACCTGTCTTCAAAATATGGTCCTTTCAAGAAAAGGGTCAAAATTCAGTTCTACGGCCATAGATGGCACTAAATGAGGTCGTTGACCCCTGAAACTTCGATATTCGGATTCCAGAGCTCGAAACCTTTCTAACGACCCCCTAATCGTCGAAATCGATCAATCCGTTCGGAAAATTTGTTATTTTAAAAATTTCATATGCATTTCTATGAAAAATCAAAATGTCTGTCTGTCTGTGGCCAATTTTGCGTAGTTGTTTCTGATCTTTTTCAAACTTTCTGGGATTAAAGTACATAAAAAACTAAGACTTTTTTGTTCCGGCACTTTTCGATATGGCCGCCATGTTGGCCATGGCCGGCCTCTAAAAGTCACTTTTCGACTTTTTTCCCTATGGTCACCGAAGCGCCATGACTTGACACCCCCCCGGACATGTGCATATCATTGAAAAGGTCTTGAAGTGAGCTATCGAATGAAGCCATTTGCGGTCCAAAAATTTCAATTTGGAGTGGCCAAATTGGCCAAAAACCAAAAAGTTACCGTTTGGCCGGACACATAATGGCCATTAGCTCGAAAACTAGCCTTTCATGGACACTTGAAAATTTCACCGATTTTTAGGCCCAAGTCTAAGCTATAAAATGCCGCATAGCTTATATCCCAGAAAATTCTTGTCTTCACGATATGGCCTTTGATAGTGCGAATATGGCCAAAAATGGCCAAAAAGGACAAAAAATGTTACTTTTAACATTTGAAGTAATTTATGGGCCAAAATGTACTCCAATGACTCTGTAGATATGCTCTGTGACTAGCCAAACAAAATTGAATAAAATATCGACCGTTTTGGATGGCTTTTCCACCAAAAATCGTCCAAATGTACCAAAATTCGAATTTTCACAAAAATGTCTAAATGTATGAAATATGAAATCTTAACAACAAATAACTACATGTTTGATAGTTTCCTCGCATAAGATCGATAAAATACCGAATTTTATGTTCCCTCCCACCAGACCAGAAGGTGAACTATCGTCGGGAGAGGTGCATGCGGTTATTCACAAATGAAAATAAAAGAAATCTACAAAACTGTTAGTATAAATGGCAAACTATGAAAAAGGTCATGCAAAAATGGCCATTATTTCATACGGTCGCTGTGGGACCTAGACTTGACATAACCAGGACAAATGCATATTCGTTCGAAAGGTCTTAAAGTAAGCTCTCAAGTGGTGTCAATTGCGACTTAAAAATTTCATGTGGGGGTGGCCAAATTGGCAAAAAAACAAAAATTGACCGTTGACCGCACACATAACGGGAATTTTAACGAAAAAGACTGCATAATTATGTTCTCTTGAAAATTTCATCAATTTAAGCCTCCAGTCAAAGATAAAACAATATGCATACCACATACCACTGAAAAATACCTCTGTTCCTCATTATGAACCATAATTTGTATAAATTTGGTCCAAAAATAACCTAAAAATCCATATTTTCATTGTATTTGAAAAATATTCGAATTCATGTGTCTTGAATCTTTAACTTGGAAAATAGCGCTTACAAAACTATTGATATCAGATAAAAAACCTCTATCAAGGTGAAGAACGAGTGACGAAACCAAAATTTGAAACTCAAAATTTCTGATATCAATTTTGTGACGAAAATAGTTGGTAGATATATTTTCTGTGTACTGTGAATATAAACTTAATAAACATTTGTAAATTCGGAACGTTGCTTCATTGCATCAGCATGAACTCAAAGTAAAAAGGAGAGAATTTCTGCAACGTTCCGAATATACAAATGTATATTAAGTTTATACTCACAGTACACAGAAAATATATCTACCAACTATTTTCGTCACAAAATTGATATCAGAAATTTTGAGTTTCAAATTTTGGTTTCGTCACTCGTTCTTCACCTTGATAGAGGTTTTTTATCTGATTCTATTCACTGCAAATTAGTGAAAATATTTGCAAAGTCAACTTTCAAGGGGAAATTTATTGCGGCATTTTCCTCTGATTACTTTGAATTTTAACATCTGAGTTTTCTGAGAGTAGTTTATGAGGTTTACTGCCTTTTTGAAGCTCAACTTCATAGGTGGCAATATAGCCAAAATGAGAAAAATATAGGTAAAGTACATTTTCGAGCTTCATTGCAAGAAACCTAGTTCTATGATTTTGATTAAATTTCGCCAGATGATAGCTCTCAAAGTCCTCTTTCTAACGCTATATAGCTTATTAGCCAATCAAACTTGTGAAGAGTTTTGGAATTTCAATTTAATTATGGCATTGACAAAAACCTTAGAGAAAAACGAAATCCATGTGATGCATTTATTAGGTAGTTCTGGACGTTCTCATTTCAGTAATTGAATTGAACGATTTCACCATTTATGGATCATCAGCGCAGCTTTTAAGAAAACCATCTATATAATTTATAGGATTTACTAACTTTTTGAAGTGGGAGCGCATAGGTAGTCGTTGAGGCAATATGAGGAAAATATTGGCAAAATCAATTTTCAAGGTGTAATTTATTTTAAAAATATTGTGGCAAAAAATTCAAAATATGAATGTCGAGTAGTTTGTTTTCCTTAGTAGTACGGTTCCACGTTTCACATTAAGCTCTACGGCCAAAAACTGGCAGTGTATTTATTATTGTGGAATTCATAAACAAGACGGAATTACATGCAGAAATTTGCACCGAAGAAAAATAGTATGGATTTCGCGTTTTTTTTTTTGTGGTTTGTAGTGATAAACGTCAAACTATTTGCTTAGAGTAGGTCTCAAGTAGGTCTATTATTATTGTTCGTGTACTGTTCCAACAACTGTTCAAACAATTGTCGACCCTTCGATGAAGCCTGTGAATATGGTTTGAATCCGCTTCAAAAAAATGTTTCCGTTCATGTCGCCAATATTTTCAACTGCTTTGCCTATTCAACAAAAACAAACAAACAATGAAAACAAAACACAATAATAATTAAATTTTAACTCACTATTATCAAGGATATAGATATAAAATGCTTTTTTTATAATGATTTTAATCAAAATGTCGAAAATGATAATCAAGCCGAAGAATTCCCGGCAGTCCTGTTCAAGAATACGATGTTGTTGTTTTGTTTTTGTTAATTTAACACATATAACATTAAAGAGACTTTCAATTGTATTGATTTCTTACATCGTTAGTTTGTGAATATCCTGTTATTTTAAAATAAAAACAGAAACAAAAACAAAATTTACCGCGTAAATAAATCCATTCTTCATAAACTCACACAATCAACTTTAATTTCAATGTTCTGATACACACACAGTAACCAACTGTCAAAACGCATATTAATTTGTTCGGATTCGAAATTTGAATTTATAATTATATTCATGAAATAAAAAAAGATAAATGTAAAAAAGTATGTTGCGGAAACTAAAAATAACACTAAAACGACGTCCGGAATTGGCCAAAGCGTTACACTTTTCGACGTTAAATTGTATAGAAAACGTTACACATTTGTTTGCTTCATCTAAATAAGAACTTTGTACTATAAAGAAATAGTGAGGTTATGGGTGTGTTGTGTATATATGTGTATGTCTTTTGGTGCAAACTTCATAATCGTTTTACTTGTCATCCATTTCTTCGATGAGTCAAAACAAAAGAGTTTTGGAAATCTGCGATTTGTGTTCTTGATTTAATTTTTTATATGTAAAACATGTTTGATTTACAAATAAAATCATTAAAAATATGACAAAAAAGAAAAATGAACAGCGACACATGTAATGAATTAAACCGATTGCATTTTTTTATTTTGATTTTATAAAAATTGTGTTTGTTAAATTGCTTTGGCTATATTATATATTTTTCATTAAGAAAAAATTCAAATTTAAAAACATTACCGAGACATTTATTGTTTGTTTTGTAGACAAAACCGTGCATGGGAAAAAGATAGGCGGGATCGGTTGAACAATACATTTGAGAAATTAGCAAAACTCCTACCAGAATATCGACCCAAAGTAACGTTTAGTAAAATAGAAATTCTACATAAAACCATTGTTTACATTGAGGATCTGAGGAGAAAACTAAGAGATGTGCTTTCAACGCAAAATGCATCGATTTTAAGTATGTATTTAAGTTTATGTTCACGCTTTGATAATTCATTCTCAAAATAAATTCAATTATTTTTGTTCCGTTTCATAGAAACTCAAGAGGAGCTTGAAGGAAGTATTAAAATATTAGTTGAACAAAATAACGATTTGGTGGAACTACTTGAAAAATCAAACATAAAGGTGCCACATTTTATTGTGCCGAAATTCTTCAGTTTCATTATTTCCGTATATGAGGCAAAATCGAATAAAAAAAATGATACGAAGGAAAAACGTGAAATAGTTGATATAAAATCGACAAATTCACACGCGCCCAATGAAAATGTATTAAATAAAAGATCTCCGGAAAAAAAATCAAAAAACAAATCCAATAAAACTGTTCAAAGTCCAGCAAAAAATAATAAAGAAACAATCGAGGAGAAAACTGTTGAATCAATCGATAATTATGGTGCAAAAACACTTCCCAAATCTCAATTGAATATCGAGTTGAATGAGGTTCAATCATTTGGTTCAGTTGATTTGATACCAGTCACCAATTCATCAAAACCAGAAATGAAAATACATGAAAAACCAGTGAAAAATTTTGTTGAAATAACTCCACTGGTTAGCAGTCAGAATGCAAATGTGTCACTGGACAAATTTTGTGATTTAGTTGAACAGAAGGAACACCAAAATAGCCAAGGTTTTTACAATTTATATCACTAACATTACAATTTATACTAGTATAAACGATTAATTTAATTTTTTATTTTATTCAGAACCCAAAGCGGAAAATGTGTCGTTGAATGTTTCAGTGATTGTAAAAAATAAACCGTCTTCGGATGCGGAAAATGTGGGCGTTAAAAAACAGAAAGAGCTAAATTTGGATAACAGTAATATGGGAAAATCGAAAAAACAGCCGAAGTTATCTTTCGATGACGCACAGGTTGATTCACACTGTGATAAAAAGTCCACTTCCATTGAACAAAGTATCGGTCAAAAGCAAAAGAATATATCAACAAATCAAGAAGCACCAAATGTTGGCCAATGTAATGCGAAAAAAATACCTAAAATATCGAATATTAAAACAGTTTGTACTGTAAGCGATCAAAATAAAGCGATAAGCAATGATCATATCAAGGAAATCGCTAATATTAATATTCCAACAAATGAAGCCACAATTTGTGGTAAACGGGTGGAAAATCTTGGATTGCCAAAAGAATTGAGTGAAAATCTTGCAAATGACAAAGATTTATCGGATGAACTATTTTTCCCATTGTCACATACACCAAATGAATCAAATCCAAATGCCCTTTCACCAACGGCGGCATTTCTTTTATCATTTCCAGTAGTATCAACTACGTCGAGCTCAAAACCAACTGAAACTGATAATAGCTATTCGGTGGGCACCAATTTACTGCGTATAGAAGATAAACAGAATCAACCAAAAGATCATAGTCTATTTGAAAGTATTTCATTCATTTTGAATGATTTAAATGATGTATCAGACAATAGTAAGAACCTCTCAAGTGTTGATAATTCTGGTGCAGCTCATTTTCCTAATTTCACAAATAAAACCAGAACGAATATCGATTTGGAGAGGTCAAATGCACTAAATACTGTGAATAACAGTGTGAATAAAAAGGTTATTAGTAAAGCTGAATCGTCAAAATCACAAATTACAAATGATGTTAAAAAACATCAAACTCTTCCAGAATGTCCATTAAATACAATGCAAGCAAATAATTTATTAAGTGATCGAACAAATTTCATGCAATCCAAAACATTCGAAAACGTATCAAATCCAACTGAAAATACATCCGATTTTTATGTTAGTCTTTCAACACTTGGTTTACCATCAAAATCAGCTGCAAAGCCAATAAATCCCAGTTCACATTTCAATTTCCAAATATCATCTTTGGCTCCAAGGAATCTAATTGAATCAAGATCGTTGATTGCCGATACGCCGTTCACATTCTCATTGACAAAATGCTCCGATACAATAACAAATACAACAAAAACCACATCACAGCAACAAGAGGTTTTATATCGGCCAAACAAAACAACTCTGAAGAAATCAACGCCAACAAAACATTTGATTAATGATCGTTTTATTGTTCCACCGCCAGAACCAACATCGATAACACCACTAAATCGATGCAATACATTCAACCCATTTTCATTCGATAATCCTTCGATTGCATCGGCTAGTTCATCAATTACCACTACACCATTTACATTCACACTGACGCCAACATTTTCATCGATTTCGTCCAGTACGCCATTACTTTCAAGTCATGATCCATTGTTCTCATCGTCATTTGATATGCCCATCATGAGATCCACTAATACATCATTAACAAAAAATTTGAAAAAAGAAAATAAACCAGCCACAATTTTGCAATTTGGTTGCAATGAAAAACATCAAATTCAATCAACATCGGGAAAAATTGGCAAAAATTATACAATGCCATCCACATCGAAATCAAGCAAAAATCTGGTCAATTGGATGACATCCACTGTAAATAATAAGCCAACGCAAGAGCTACATTTGGATTTCATCTCTACAGCACCTGAAGAGCCATCACCATGGTCACCTAATCCAAATACAAATTTAATTGTATTGCACGGTGATTTGGCACTGAATACAATTTCAAATGGTTGCAATGTCCCGGCGAATAAATTTGATCTAGATTCGAAAAAGGGACCAATACGAACAAATATCAATCATAAATATGGCCAATCGAAAGTATCGACAAATCGACAACTTGAACGCAGCGGAAAAGGTGGAAAAAGTGATAAAAATTTACAAACATTTAAAATACATCATCAACCAATACAACAACCAATCAATGAATCGCATACAACAAATAAGTTTCATTCAGTCAGTCAGTTGTTGGATCAAGATTTGCGTCAAACGGCAAATAAAAATAGCTGTTACATTTCAAACGAAAGTAAAATGCCATTGAAGGACAGTAGTATGGTGACAACAAAACTAAAAATGTATCCAAAATACGAAATAGATGCAAGTAATCAGTTGGTTGAGAATAAATTTTCAACGAATCCATGTAATATTGTTGGAAATAGTGATGAATGTGATCGAGACTTATTTGGTGGTTATTTTTTCAGCCAGCCAAAGCGTTTAAAGTTGAACTATCATACGTCCAGTGAATTCTTAGGAAATCAAAGTTATCCAACCGCATTTGAAAATTCGAATGCCAATGATCATCTTGCTTCCTACTCCAATTATCAAACATACGACAATGATTGCAATAATGTGTCGTCCACTTCATGCATAAATAATTTATCGAATCAAACATATTCGTATCAATATACACAACCACATTCTCAATCGTACAATCAACAAACGCAACAACTTCCGCAAACTATGTGCGATCCAATCGATTCGTCCAACTATTTCCAAACACCACCTGTATCATCGTTGCCAAATTACAAACCGTCATCACATTTCAGTGATGTAATCACCACCCGCAGTACTACAAAAACAAGTACACATCAAACGTACTCAAATGATAATATTTCAAATGTAAAAATATTGTCTGGCACCACTGCAACATCGAATAGCGTATCAAATAATCAATGGAATGATAGTTTCAGTTGGATGCCTTATAACTTCAATAGCACCGACACAAAAACTGTCACCACGAATAACATTAACGGAAACAATAATAATATGATTCCAAATTTCAATCTCACCACCATTTTTCCGGACTATAATAAGTCTTGATATGGAGAATTTGCATGTATATCAATTGTATATATTTGTTAAGAACAAAAAATTAAAAAGATGAATAAATAATTTATAAATATAAAAAAAAAATATTTTATCTTTACAAATAATTTGTTTGGAAAATTCTATTCGAAAATTCGCCCCATATTTCGCCACAACACACACTGTGGCGAATTACTTGTATTGATAGCGAATTCACATTTTTTTAGAGTGTCATTCATTCCTTCCAATAAAACGTCATTCACCGCATTGTGTGTATGTTCACGTCGTACAGATTTTTACCTATAATTTCGAATTCGTTCACTCTTTTTTGATTGCAATTAATATTTAAAAAAAATTGCTTTCAAATCGTATGTTTTGATTTTGATTGGATATATTGGTTTGAAAACGAATTAATTCACCATAAATAAAAATGCCACCAAAAAAAGCGGCCGCGGGAGCTAGTAAGAAAACTGAAGCTAAAAAGAAGGAGAAAATTATTGAGGTTAGAAAATGAAATGTCTAAGATGATTTTTTTTTGTTCAGATATATGTCTATATAGCATTGACTCAACAAATGCAAAATTATGTCTTTCATATAGGATAAAACATTCGGTTTGAAGAATAAGAAAGGGGCCAAAACTCAAAAATTCATTCAACAAGTAGAAAAACAAGTTAAAAGTGGTGGACAGCATCCACTGAATCAAAATAGTAAAAAAGATGAGAAGGAAAAGAAACTTCAAGAACAAAAGGAATTAAATGCATTGTTTAGGTAAAGAAAAAAGTTCAAATTGCCTTTATTGTTACTGTGAGATCAATTGTTTTTGATGCAATCGCTCTTATAGACCGGTTCAAGCGCAAAAAGTTGATAAAGGAACGGATCCAAAGTCAGTGGTGTGCGCCTTCTTTAAAGCCGGACAATGTGGAAAGGGCGATAAGTGTAAATTTTCGCATGATTTGAGTGTCGAGCGAAAAGTTGAAAAGAGAAGCATTTACGTTGACATGCGAGATGATGACGAAAATGACACTATGGACAATTGGACCGATGATAAACTCAAGGAAGTCGTCGAAAAGAAACATGGAAAGGAAAAAAGAATGCCGACCACTGATATTGTACGTAAACATTAATGGCACCGAACGCTTATGAATTAAACATTTCATTCATTTTTATTAGATTTGCAAGTACTTTTTGGATGCTGTAGAAAAATCGAAATACGGTTGGTTTTGGGAATGTCCAAATGGTGAGAAATGTATTTATCGCCATGCACTGCCATCAGGTTACATTTTGAAAAAAGACAAAAAGAAAATGGATGAACAAAAGAAACCGGATCTCTCTCTGGTCGACTTAATCGAAAGAGAACGTAACGCACTCGGATCCAGTTTGGTGAGATTTATGTTTACACTTTACATACACTTGTGCTAGCGAATGAAATTCAAATATTTACTCTTTATAAAATCAATGTAATATATAGTAATTGATTATTTTCTCTTTTCTTTCCCTTCTAATTTAATATTTAGACAAAAGTAACATTGGAATCATTTTTGGCATGGAAAAAACGGAAAATTCAAGAAAAGAAACAGCAACTGGCTAAGGAAGAGGAACAAAGAAAAAAAGATTACAAATCTGGCAAACAATTCGGTTTCTCTGGTCGTGAAATGTTTAGTTTCAATCCAGAATTGGCCAACGACAATGACTTCGATGATGATGATACCGCAGTAGCTAGCTACGAACGTGAAGATGACGATGATGACGAGGTCTATGAATACAAGGAACTTGATTTGGATGCGCTGGCTGCTGAAGCTCAAGAGGTTTGTTACACAAACAAATTGTTATGGAAAAATGTTATAACATCAAATGGTGCTCATAATTAATTATTATAAATTTTTTGCATTTTCTTTATTAGGTCGATGGCACTGGTACGGTTGCTTGTTTAGATCGTTTACAGAAACCAATCGAAGAGATAGAAGAAGGAGCAGCAGCCACGGACGTGGTGGATGCAACACCATTTAATGAAAATCTTTTCCTCGACGAAGAAGTATTAGATGGTTTAGAAGATGAATTAAATGAATTGGATCTGAACGATAATTCGTAATTTAAATACTGCTCGATTAAATCATTATGAAATTTTTTTTATGTAATCAACTCCAACAATAAAAATTTAATATTGTTTTATCAAATGTTAAACTTGAAATTATACATTTATTTTGATATTGTATTTTGTATTAACGTATTTTGATTAATGATTTTCAAGCTAAAAATATATATTTTTGCAAATACTTTGAAATTACTTCTTCAAATGTTAAATTCAAGCCATTTTGACGGATTTGTAATTGTAATATTATCAATCTGCTCATCAGTTAGTCCCTTTAGTTTGAGTTTGGGCAAAACATTGTTTATAATATGTGCATAGCCGTGACCTCCGAAACCAATCTGTTGAGATTAGAAGAAATGCAATAAGAAATAGCAAGCTATTAATTTGTTTTGTAAATCTCACTAGTCTATGTTTTGTATGAATATCATGTGACATTAATATTCGATCTAAGTATCCTTCATCAACAAGTGAAATGATCTTATCCATGCGTTGAGCATCCGAAGGCATATCCAGATGTTCTGCCAATTGATAGAAAGAAACTTCCGTTCCAAACAAATCGAATTGGCAATACATGCCAAGTTTGGCAAACTCCAATAACATGTCATCGTCATGAATTGTACCTAAAACCATTAATAAAACATTATCTTGGTGATTGAAATACATATTTCTCAACGACAAAATTTTTTTTATCTTATCACTATAAATTCTGTTTATTTGTGCCCGCATAATGTTGCTATCAGAAATATTTATCATCACAAATAGTAATTCAAACGAGTCAAATTCAAATTCCACTTACGATCCAAATGCGACATTACACACTTATCAGCCTTGCCACCGGCTTCCAAATACAAACGCATGATTTCGAATGGTGCACGAGAATCTCGCGCTGAGAAATAAAGTAAATTATACAAATACACATGTTCTTTAAGTAAAATATAAAATTCCTACTAATCAATGAGGATTAGGTGTTTATTTATTACCTGGATGAAAGGTGACTGCACAACCAAGTGCTGATTGTACATCTGCCGAAGCTTTTATTGCACGTTTTTCAAAATCAGAAATAGGCCAATTGCTTGCGATTTCACCTAGAAATCCACATTTTATGATATCTGATCCATTTTTATTACTGCTCACATCAACACCAAACACAATCTCTCTTCTGTACAAATCCGACATTTGCTCTAAGCTAATTGATAATTCACTATTATCTTGCGTCATTTCAAGATAATGTCCAGCTCCCGCAATCACATTTACGCCAGTCTTTTTTGCCACTTCACGATAAAATGTTAAATCTCTACGTATTCCATGAGTTGTATTTTCAACAATGGTACATTTGCTACCACACCATTTTTTATACAAATGTACATCTTCAATTACTTTCTCATTTGTATCATCGTCAAAAAATTGCAGATTATACGGACTACTGTACGGATATTGCCTTAAAACTCCAATATTTCCCAACGAAATTTTCTGCTTTTCCGTGACATAGCCCTGCAAGTGCTTGGGAGCGTCGTTGAAAAAATGATGAAAATCCAATGATAGATGTTCGTGCGGCAAAGTCCGTCCCAAATCTGATGGCAATAAATCACCCAAAACTAATGTCAAACAAAACGAAAAATTCAATTAATAAAATATATGTTTTTGAAAAATAAAAAAAATAAAAGTTCATCTACCCGATTGAACCTTCATTTTAATGTCCTCTATCAAAGCTATCTGTTTTTGTAAATTGGACACGCTTTTTTCATGAATAACAAACAAGTTTTAAACTCAAACTGAATGTGATTAAAGTTATTATTCTCGTTTTATCAAGAAATAACTCGATTTTTTTTTGTTAACGAAATCCAATTATGAAGATGTATGAAGTTGTTGATTAAGACGCATGAAGTTGTTCGAAACGATCAGATATAGATAGCATTTTTTATTTAAATGAAGTGAAGCAATTCAATGATAAATAAAATGAATTCAATTTTACAAAAATTCAAAATTAATCAAATTTAATCTAAATAAACGATTGTTGATCAACGAACGAACAAAAGATTATTGAAGTTTATATCTTCTTTTTTAAAAAATATTTTCAAATTGGCGCCATTTTTGCGCCGAAAACTTGACACTTGTTAACCATATGTGTTTTGAAGAACTGTCACTTCAAACCTTAACGGATCGAACACACGATTATTTTTTAGTTTACTTAGAGCACTATTTATTATTTAAAAAAACCTGTTTTCCGTAGATTAGATAATTTAATTTTTGTGTGTGTAAGAGAGAGAGAGATGCTGAATTGGTGAAACCAATACGATGTCATTTTCGCAATCCTTTTCATTAGGCGAAAACACTTTGAATCAGTTGGATGTATATGCTGGTAACATAGGTAAAAATATCAATAAGAATAGCAAATCATACATTTCGCCAACGAAAAAAATACCACCAAAACAACCGGTGGTCGTTTGTCTGCCAACAAGTTGTGATTTTGTAAATTCATCTCCAAATTCGGATGTGATTCGCTCAAATAAAATACCTGATGTGGTCGATGAATCGCCAACGGAAAAATCCAATATTCTTGGCAAATCGATCCGTGAACAATTGAAAAATGCATCAACATCAAAGAAGACCAATCGAAAATATATGCGAAGAAGTCGATCGGATCCAATTACAACCAATAGTGATTCGAAAATTTCTGCATCGGCATTGTATAGAAAACATGGATTTACAGAAGATTTTGCTTCAATGTTTGAAAACACAATGGATTTGGATGAAATGGATAATGATCGCGCAAATCGGAAAACCAAAATTAAATTACATGCAAAATTTGAAGAAGATGATTTTGATAAATACATGCAAAATATTCAAACGCCTAGCTTAAATAATGATTGTAACGATACCAAAAATAGTGATAGTTTGATTGCTTTAAGCGATAGTGGAGGATCGACTCAGCATGTCAATGTTTCGGAAATTGAAAGATTGATGCAAACTGAAAATTTTGAGACAGCTAAATCATCGCCAGTTCCGTTGGCAAGTGATGATGAAATAGAATGGGAAGACTCAGCATTTTTCAATGATTTGCTTGAGTCCCAAAGAAATAGCACGAATAAATGTCTGGAACAGAATAAAATTGAAGATGAAGCCGATCCTGTCATCGATGTTGAATGCATTTCAATGCAGAGTGGTCGAAACAATTATGAAAAAGCCGAAGAAGATGAACTGGAAAGTTGTTTCTTAGAAAATAGCATTCATTTATCAAATTTAAATTCAATCGAAATAAAATCCATGAACAAAACTGGCTACACACAACTTGATACAAGCATTTTTTCGCAAAACATTTCCGAACGTATTGTTTCAAACGAAATAATTGCAAAAACTGAAAGTGCCGACAATTTATCGTTGGCACAACCGAATAAATTCAGCATCGACAATTTATCCGAGTGGAGTTGTTCAGCGCCTATAATCAAATCATATAAGAAAAAAGGCATTCATGATATGTTTGAATGGCAAGCAGAATGTTTAAATAATCCAAAGGTAACTCTACCAAATTGATTTATTATATTTTATAAATAATTTATGATTTTAGATCAAATATGGAAATTACAATTTATTGTACAGCGCCCCAACATCAGCTGGTAAAACGTTCGTTAGTGAAGTTCTGATGTTTCAAACGGTGTTAAAGAGACAAAAGAAAGTAATCGTCATTCTGCCATTTATATCAGTTGTTCGAGAAAAAATGTACTCATTACAAGTGAGTAAGCAATTAGAAAAATAAATCGTTGGCCAGTCGTTTTCAATTTGTATTATTTCTAAAGGATTTGTTACGAAGTTCTGGAATACGAGTTGAAGGGTTTTTCGGTGGTTACACGGCACCAGGTGGATTTGAATCGGCCGATATCGCTATTTGTACTATTGAAAAAGCGAACGCAATCGTCAATCGCTTATTGGAACAAGGAAATATCGACTCAATTGGTATGATCGTTGTTGATGAAGTTCATTTAATTTCCGATCCAAATCGTGGCTACATACTGGAACTACTTCTCACCAAAGTTCTATTTTGCTCGCGTAAGCTGAACACAAACATTAGACTTGTAGCCATGTCAGCCACGATATCTAACTCAACAGCATTACTACAAAATTGGCTGAATGCAGAATTTTATTTAACGAATTACCGTCCAATTGAGTTGCATGAAATGATCAAAATAGGAAATAGTATTTTCAATAATACAATGAATTTGGTGCGAATGGTTTCAAATGAGGAGTACTCCATGATCGAAAATGATCCCGATCATATTGCACAGTTATGTATTGAGACGATTGTAAATGGAGCGGCGGTTATTATTTTTTGTCCATCAAAAGATGGGTGTGAAAATTTGGCACTGCATGTGGCACAAAATATATACAAATTGGGAAAAAGTCAAACGAACATTGGGGAGAGAATACGTAAAGCAATCAATATGCCGTTGATTGAAGAGGTAAAGGGACATTTACGAAATTCATCAGCAGGTGAAAACAATTTTTTTATATTACATCTGTTTTTCCACATATTAATAATATTTATTTCTCTTCTAGGTTTGGATTCCATATTGGAAAAGACGATTTCATACGGCGTATCTTTTCATCATGCTGGACTAACATTCGACGAACGAGACATAATCGAAAGTTCGTTTTGTAAATCATCGATTCGAGTGATTGTTGCGACGAGTACTCTAAGTTCAGGCGTCAATTTGCCTGCGCGCCGAGTCATAATTCGATCGCCAATGTTTGGCGGTAAATATATTCCTATATACTAAATTTATCTTTCTTTGAATTTTCCCGTCTATTGAGAATAGAATATTTTCCTATTATTCCTTTTACAAAACAATGTTATACAATTAATTGCCTGTTTCTGATTATTTCAGGTAAACCAATGTGTTCGCTAACATACAAACAAATGTGTGGAAGAGCCGGACGAATGGGAAAGGTATTTTTGATTTTATATTTTTGAATCGCTTCAACCTTAATATTTTATATTAATTGATGTAATAGGATACGGAAGGTGAATCGATTTTAATTTGTACCAACAACAATGCAAAAGTTGGTCAAGAATTGATTGGAGCTGCATTAAAGCCAATCACTTCATGTCTATCGACCGATAATCACGTATATATTATATATTTTCATTTTTTCATTTTCTTGCATATAATTTAAATTATTTGATTATACAGACGCATCTGAAGCGAGCACTTTTGGAGATAATTGCCTCTGGCGTAGCGACAACTCGAACTGAACTGGAAGAATTTGTAAAGTGTACGTTATATCCACAAAAAAAAAAAGAGTCTTACGGGAGTAAGACGAACTTTTCCGCATGGTGGTAGTTGTGTATTTTATTAAGCACGTTCAAAATAATATTTGTTCGATTTTTCAAACCTTTCAAGCGGCGTAAAGTTCGAGACCAAAAAATATGTTCAAACCTTGGCATCGAAATATTCTTTAATTTAATAGCAGAGGTACTCGAGAAAAGATTTTTCACACTTTCATGATGAACCCATTTGTACGACATTTGAAAGTATACTATTATTTTCTAACAAAACACTATAAAAAAATATCTCTGACGTTAATTTTGCCATAAAAATTACTTTTGAAAAACTTTTCATAACTAAAGTCCCGAAAAATTTGGATTTTTGTATGGGAGCCATGTCTGTATGCTACCTTAATGGCGTGAAACTTTGAACAGGTTAATTTTTCCACAAAAAAATAACATTCGGAGGGTTTGGAGAAATTTCAACCAAAATTAAGGGTATATCGCATACAAAATATTCGAAAGTTTTGTATGGGAGGTACCCCTAATTTTGATTGAAATCTCTTCAAACTTTCAGAATGTTATTTTTTTGTGTAAAAAATAGACTGTGCAAAGTTTCACACCATTAAGGTAGCATACAGGCATGGCTCCCATACAAAAATTCAATTTTTTGTGATTTTTTCAAGGAAACTGTATCAATAATTGATTGTATCTCAATACTAACCTCGGATTCGGTTTTCTCGTACCAAAAAACCCCCCAATACATATTTTTAAGTGTTTAAGTCTACATTAAGTATGACTTTTGGACGAAAATTGGACTCTTTTTCATAGGTATCACTCCAGGCATGAAATTTTTTTCCATCAACAAAAGTCGCTCAAAATCTAATGATTTCTATTCCTCACGACCCCCAATCATCCTGTACAGTCAAATTTTGAATCAAGTTTCTACGATGAGCGCAATCTTGCTAACAAATTTTGCGTACAGCGTACAACGTACGATGTACGACGTACAGATTAACAAAAACCATGCTCAAAACGGCCTGATTCGGGTTCTCTGACCTCAGAAACGTCCAGAAAACATGTTTCTGAAGTTTTCAAAATTTTGACCGATTACAATACTTTCCACCTTACACTATGTGTGCGGAAAAGTAAAAATGATCACAATTTCAAATTAAAGCAATGTTGTTGCAAATGTGTGGCCATTTCTTTGCTCTTAAACCTAGGGGATCGGATCTCGATCAGAAAATAGCGAATTATTCGATATTTTGCGAATTTTATGCGAAATGATTTGTAAGCGATGGGCCAGTAAAGTTGTGATTTAAAAAACAATTCGCAAACAAAACGCTATGAACGTGAGACAATTCGCAAAATTTGTAAGTTTTGTATGTATCAAATTGTGAACGCTTGTAAACGAGCCAAGTGAACAGCGGCGACGCACGAAAACGAAATGAGTGAATAGCGACAACGAACGAAAGAAAAAATGTTATCCGCTGCCGCTATTCACTCACTTCGTTTTCTTGCGTCGCCGCTATTCACTTGGTTCGTTTGCAAGCGTATATTATATAGTTTGATTGTGATAACTTTTTGCGAATAGTTTGCGAATTGTATGCGAATTTCTTGAATTATTTTACTAAAATGACGACTTTATCATACAATCAATAAATTTTGTCCATTCGCGAATAGATCATTTCCCCTAGTCTTAAACTATATATTTTAATTTCATTACATGTTTTCTTTATTTACCCTAGGTACGTTGTATCACTCGGAGCATAGGTTCGAGATTAAATATTTTGAAGTTATTTTGGACGAATACAAAGCAAAGATCAAATCGAAAAAGAAAACCGATTTCTCAAACGATAGTCTTGTCTACACAAATGTCAATGACACAGATTTTGTTGGTAAATGTATGAGATTTTTGGAGCGATACGAATTTATTCAATTGCAATTCGATGACAAAATTCAAGAGTTAAAATTTATTCCAACTCGTCTTGGTTATGCTTGTTTGGCATCATCAATGCCGCCAAGCGATGGTTTCTTTCTGTTCTCTGAGCTACAAAAGGCTCGTCAAAATTTTGTGCTTGAAACGGAGCTACATGCTATTTATCTAGTGACACCATTCTCAGTCTGTTATCAGTTACAAGATATTGATTGGTTATTTTATTTGGATATGTGGGAAAAATTATCGACTGCCATGCAACGTGTTGGCCATTTAGTCGGGGTTAAAGAATCGTTCCTTGTGCGAGCAATGCGAGGTTCCAAAGGTGTAGATCACTCAACATTACAAATACATAAACGGTAAGACGGATTTCATTTCTTTAACCGATGTAAAAACAGCACTTCGCATCTCATCTCTTGCTCTCACTTACGAGAATTTCCGCAAGCAAGAGAAGGAGGTGGGATGCGACGTGCTATTTTTGCTCTCAGCCTCTCATTTGTTAATTTCATTAAATTTCAGTTTTTACACCGCTGTTGTTCTACATGATTTGATCAATGAATGTCCATTGAATGAAGTTGCTGTAAAATATAAACTTAATCGAGGTACATTGCAAAGTTTACAACAAACTACATCAACATTTGCTGGCATCGTAAAATCATTTTGCAAAGCGCTCAATTGGGATATGTTAGCATTGATTATTGCACAATTTCAAGATCGTATATTTTTCGGTGTTCATCAGGATCTAATTGAACTTATGAAAATTTCGGTTCTAAATGGTCAACGTGCACGAACGCTTTACAAAGCGGGCTATGAAACTCTAGTTGGTATTTCACAGGCCAATGTACTTGACATCGAAAAATGTTTAACGGATTCTATTGGTTTTGATGTGCAAAAACGGAATGGTGAAACAACATACGATGCTGAACAACGAAATAAGCAGCGATTGTTATTTGTCACTGGGCGTGCAGATTTATCGGTGAAAGAGGCGGCCAAAATGATAATTGATGAAGCTCGCGAATATCTTTGCAATGAAATGGGCATAAAAAATATTAATTGGTCTCAATCAGTTGAAAATGAAGTCAAAAGACCGAGCGTTGCTTCCGCAGAAACTGTTGAAATCGATATGGCATGCTATCGATCTCAGAAAAGGCGCATTTCTTTAGATGCAGAAGTGGCAACACCAACTAAAAGACGAAATCACGGTCAAATAATCGAAGCCGAAGTGAATTCAATGGATGAATCAAGTGAAAACAGTGATGTCGATTCAATTATGCTTGATAGTTCAATTTCTTTCTACAATGATGAAAATGATGATTTCATGGAACAATTACGGCTAGAAGGAAACAAACCAAATTTGGCAAATGAAAAACAAAATCTTGCACATGGTGCACCATGTCTTCAAATCATTGAGGTTACTAAGACTGCCGACGACTTTAATCAGTTTCTTGAATTATTTAAATGTGTAACGGAATATGGTTTTTCCTTGGCTATTGCTCGGTCTGTTACTTCAACCGAATCGAAAAACTATCGTTGTCCTATTTCACCAGAATTGTATATATATGGTATTGCATTGTCATTCCAAGAAAAATACATTACACATTTTATCAATCTTCAAGATGAAGACGTTGTTGCTTTTCACGAGAAAATCAAATTCATTCGGTACATACTAGCCAAAAAGGAGCTAACTTTAATTTGCAACGATGCCAGAACTCAATTGAAAACATTATTGATAGCAGTAGCAGAGATACACAGAATTGATTGTCATATAAAAGATCCTCAAGTTGCTCAATGGTTAATTCATCCAGAAGACCTTGTTAGCCGTAAATTCAGCCAAATGGTATGAACAAAACTTTTTAAAGAATTTTTTAAATGTATTGGTGTATTGCAAATTTATCAATAGTTGTTAAAATATCTATTGGTAAATTTTCAATAAAGAAAATTATAAGGAATTTTCGTTTAATTATAGATTAAACTTTATGCTCCAAAATGCATTAATTTATTATATAAAATTGACAATGGGAATCAGAGTGTAACAACAACCACAAAAATTCGGTAATTTTTAAACTTGAATATATTTTAAAATTGGATATTGAAATGATTCAAATGTAATTTCATGAATAAGGTCATCAATCAAAGCCTGTGTGACTATTCACATCGTCCGAGAACAGTCGAATATTCTGAAAAAAATGGGAGACGGTTCGATTTTTACAGCATTCGAAGGTACATATATAATAAAAATAATAATATATAATGAAAATATTTTCCGTCTCATTTAGACGTGGAAATGCCAATTCAAAAATCTCTGCTCCATATGGAACAAACTGGAATGTCCATTGACCAGAATGCATTAAACATATTGAGTGATGAAATTAGTGAATACGTTGGCGATTTAGAAGCAGAAATCTTTCGCTTGAATGGAAAACGATTTGCCATAAATTCGTCTCGACAAGTGGCACAGGCTCTGAAAATTCGCAAAAAAAATGGGTCAATAGCAGCAAAGTGCACACGAGCCCAATTGCTACCATGCACAAATCCAATGGCCAAATTAATATTGGAACATCGCAGTTTATATGCCATTCTTTCGAAATCCATTCAACCATTGATCAGGAAATCCAATGATAATAATCGGTAACGAAAAAATGAGAAATGAGTAGACACATTTTATCTGCTCTATATCTATATTTATGTTGTTTTTTTTTTTGGATTTTTCTAATTAGAAAACAATTTAAAACTGTTAAATATTTTTGATTTTCGATTGATTGTTTACAACAATTTAAGCATAAACATTTTCTTTTTTTGAATATAAACATAGAATTTATGGCAGTAGTTACAGTTTTACACAAACCGGCCGAATTTCGATGTATGAACCGAATTTACAAAATGTTGCCAAAGATTTCCACACCGAATTCATTCCACGAGTATTTTCATGTCGCAACGCATTCATTGTGAAACCAAAGCGAAAGTTAATTTCAGCCGATTTTTGTCAATTAGAATTACGTGTATTGGCACATCTGTCGGAAGATAATGGACTCATCAGTATATTCAACACAATTGATGATGTATTCATATCGATTGCTGCGAAATGGAATAAAGTTCCAGAGTCAGAAGTAACAGAAAAGATGCGAAATGACACCAAACAAATTTGCTATGGTATCATTTATGGAATGGGCACAACGAGTCTCTCTGCAACAATGAAATGTGATGAAAAAGAAGCACAATTATTACACGAATCATTCCATCAAACTTATCCGGGAATACGGTAAATTAGTTATTTGTTATTCTATTATGTTTGCATAATTTACTTTGTTCTTGAAATTTCCAATAGGAAGTATATACAAAAAACTTTGAGTTTGGTTCGTCAAAAAGGTTTTGTTGAGACAATTGCAGGACGCAGACGTTATATTTCAGATATAAACTCAAATAATTTAAGAAAACGTGCTCAAGCAGAACGACAAGCTGTCAATACAACAATACAAGGTAATATTTACAACAAGATACAATAACAACATATTTAATAAAATTTTAAATAAAAATTATAATAAATATCATATTTATTATTTTTTTAGGTTCAGCTGCTGATATTGCTAAACGTGCCATTCTGCGAATGGAACGCAATTTAGAAAAATACCAACCTGTATTAAAAACGGACAATGATCCAAACAATAGCATTGACCTAGTTTTGCATTTGCACGATGAACTATTATATGAGGTAAATATTTCACATATGTGCATAAATTATTTTCTATTATTCACTAATTATGTTTTAATCATTCGTTCTTTTCTTTTGTGATCCCCCCCTTAGGTACCATGCGATAAAGACAATCTAGTGGTAAAAATTTTAAAATCAAGTATGGAAAATTGCGCAAACCTTTTAGTGCCATTAAGAGTGAAAGTAAAAGTGGGACAAAGCTGGGCAAACATGAAAAAAATTGGATAAGATAGAACAAGAAATACTTCTTCACACATATGTTATTGTATTCATTCACAATTGATCAATTGATCCTTTTTTTACAAAAATAAACAATATATCAGTTTGGTGCAGCTGCAATGCATTTTCGTTTCTCTTTTAATTAAATTGGCATTGTGAAAAAGAAGAAGGTATTTTCGAAAATGCAAGCGTGCTTTAATTTGGCGCCAATTCATGTTTGTTCGAATAATTTCGAATCTATAAACAATGACATTTTACTAGTAAAAAATGTGCGTCTCCACTTTCGTACAATACAGTATATGTTCCGGCATGTGTGTCGCCTTAAGACAATGTTCGAAATATTTCAAAAACTCATTGGTAATTGTGGCATTGGAGACGAACAACGCGCTTTTTGTTCATGAGAGAGCGGATTCTGTAGTCTGAGAGAGTGTTATATATATTTTTATACGCTTAAATCCTGTTAATTTCATTTGGTAAAAAAGGATTTTTTTCGGTGTTTAATTAGTTTTGTACAGAAAAAAGCGAAATAATTTTGCAAAAATGGATACGGCACGATTAGCTGAGATGATGAGAGCCACGCTGTCAGAGGACAAAATTCAGCGTGATGCAGCTGAGGAACAATTGAAGCAGGTAAAACAATACGCCATGTGCTTTCGGAAAATATGCAAAAACCAATATATTTATCGAATTTCCATTCAAAGTGTATTATTTTATCATTGCTATGTCCATATATCTTCGAATTATTGTGTTTATGGTGCTTTCTGTCGGTCGAAAAAGTTGAAAAAAAACCTAACTCAAACGCATACACAAGCAGAAAACATCTTTTTTTTTCAGCGTGCGGCATGTGTCACTGTAAAAAATGACGTATGGCTATTGCCTAGTGATAATTTAAAAAAAAAAATCAACTCAATTGTGTGCACTGAACAATGTCCACATCATTAAATGATACGCCAATTGCAAATGCAATTATTTTCGTTTTATATGGGAATTTGTAGCTTCTTTTAAATTCAATATTTTAATCGAAATCTGACGCTAGTATATTCTGTACAATTTTATTCGAGATTTCAACTTGATTGGATTTTGTTTACTTTTTGATTTGCATGCATTGAATGGATTTTTTTTAATGTGTTTGTGCAGATTGAATATGAATTGGGGTGTCAAATCTATCGAAGATTACATTGGTTGTCAACAGCAAATGAATTTTATTTTCATTCGACTTTTTACCGGTACGTGATTTGAGTGAATTAGCGATTGCTTTGGAGTTGACCTTGAGAATAGTAATAATAATACACATAAATCAATTACAATCGAATGATGAGTTTCAAAAATTTGTGTGTTCTACCTATATTTCCAACATGCCGAACTATGGACGAAAATTATGTGTCCGTGAAAAAAAAAGATAGATAGTGTATGTGTTATAGATTTTGTAATGAAAAATCTCACTTACACACTATAATTCACGTTTCATCAGCCGATATCGCGGCTATAAGTATGTCGATGTTTGGGTGTTCGCATCAACAACATTTCGCCAACGATGTTTGATCAATTGACATTTTTTGTTAATTTTTCTTTTTGTTTATTATCTTGATTCGATTTATTTGATTGATAGCTATGACTTTTTATGATTTTGGTGTTTATTATTTCTTTTTTCTCTTTTCGAAATATTTCACAAACGCTATAGGTATGCAAAATTATCGGATTTGTTCCATCATTGCTGCAAATCGTGATACAAGCCGATGTTCCGTTGCCAGTGCGGCAGGCTACTGCGATTTTCTTAAAAAATTTCATCACCCGAAATTGGCTAGAAAAGGATGTAGATGGAACACAAATGGAATTTTCAATTCACGAACAAGATCGTACATTGGTGCGCAACAACATCATCGAATCTTTGATTCAATCACCGGAAATGTTGAACAATCGAAATATCTACATTCACATTGCTACATGCATTTATCATATAATCAAATGCGATTACCCGGGTAATAAATAATTCTATTTTATTTTTAATATTGATTTATTGGAAATTGAATGTAACAATGTTATGAAAACAACGAATTAAGTATGCGAATAAGTCAGATATTTCTGTAGGCGTCCGCTTCGCAAATATTCCCAAAAATGATGTGGAACGCGTCACAATATCTTCGTTTGAAAAGTAATTCAAGATTGATTCAAGTCTCTGTACGTTCGCATCGTCCAGTACCAGAATACGATGTTCAAGAGCTGAATCAATTATTTTCCTAACAAAGATCTCGTGACGCGTTAATCATTATTTTCTGGAATATTTGCGAAGATGTCAGCTGAAGAATTATCAGACTTATACGCATACTTAATTCGTTGTTTCGATGATAACATTGTTACATTCAATTCCCAAAAAATAAATATTAAAAAAAAAAAAATTTGAACGTTGTTACATTTAATTTCTAATAAATCGATGCTAAAAATAAAATACATTTGAATTAACACATACATAGGTCGATGGCCAGAAGTTATCGAAAAGGTTCGCATTTACTTACAAAATAACAATTACCAAAGCTGGACGGGAGCCGTACTGGTTTTGTATCAGCTCGTTAAAAATTATGAATATAAAAAAGCGGATGAACGTGGACCACTCGATGAGGCAATGAACATTTTGCTACCAATTATCTACGAATTAATGGTTAATTTGATGCAAAATACAGAACAAACCGAAGAATGCGTCCTCTTGCAAAAGAATATTTTGAAAATTTACTATACACTCATTCAAGTAGGCTATAACCGATTTGATTTGTTTATTTTCATATTAAATGTATTTAAAAAAAATATATTTTCTGGTCCTTCAGTTCTGTTTGCCACTGGACTTAATCACTCAAGACGTATTCTCAAAATGGATGGAAATTTGTCGGTTCATTATCGATTGCCCAGTACCTGTTGATATCACCAATTTGGATGAAGAAGAACGATTGGAATTGCCATGGTGGAAAGCAAAGAAATGGGCATTACACATTTGCGTTCGTACATTCGAACGTTATGGTAGCCCTGGAAATGAAGTGAACAAAGATTATAAAAAATTTTCCGCATGGTATTTGCCAACATTCACTCGTGCCATTTTGGAATCACTTCTCAAAGTCTTGAACTCATATCGCAACAATATCTACGTATCGCCAAGAGTTCTGACGGAAGTGTTGAGCTACATGAAAATTGCGTAGGTTTTTTAAATGTAATAATACGTTTTTTATATTCAATTTTTGTTTTATTTGCTTACTAAATATAGAGTTTCACACGGATACTCATGGAATACTCTTAAGCCTCATATGCTACCAATTATTCAAGAAATCATATTCCCAATTATGCAATACAGCGAAGAAGATGAAGACCTTTATCAAAACGACACAATTGAATACATTCGCCGAAAGTTTGGTACATTCAAATTGGCTTTACAATCCTTTTAAAATTGCATCGTTGAATTCACATTGATAATTTTTTATCGATTTTGCATTTAGACATTTATGATGATTACTCAACACCCGTACCAGCCGCACAAGTTTTGTTCTTATCATGCTGCAAAATTCGAAAAGGTATTTTAAATCAAGCCATTGGGTTCCTCAACTCGGTAAGTATTCATTTATACATTTATATATCATTATAATAATTTATTATCACTGCTAACCAAACAATCTTTTTAAATAATAAAGATCATTCGAGAAAATACAGAGCCAAGAAAGCGAGATGGTGCTCTCTATATGATTGGTTCAATTGCTGAAGTTCTATTAAAAAAGAGAGAATACCGTGATCAAATTGAACAAATGTTAACTGAATATGTATTCCCCGAATTCCAAAGTCCACATGGTCATATGCGTGCCCGTGCATGTTGGGTGTTGCAGGCATTCAGTGAAGTTGAATTTAAAAACCAAGAGATTTTGGGACAAATTTTACGCCTTGCTACAAATGCATTATTAACGGATCCAGATTTACCAGTCAAAGTTGAGGCTGCGATCGTTCTACAAGTTTACCTATCATCACAAGATGGTGAAGCGCATGAAATCGTAAAGAGTGCCATTCTTGGCCTAAACATTCAAAACATTACCATGGAATTGTTGAAAATTATTCGAGAAACGGAAATCGATGATTTGAATACAGCTATGCAAACGGTTGTCGGTACATTCTCCGAACATTTAGCACCAATTGTTGTCGATATTTGCCGGCATTTAGAAGAAATGTTCAAAGAATTAATGCAGGGACCGGAAGGTTCCGATGATCGCGAAGAAACCGCAAACGGTTTGCTTGGAACTATCGAAAAATTGTTGGCTGTTTTCGAGGAGAATGCCGAAATTGCCGCCAAATTACAACCATGTGTCATTGCAGTTATTCGATTAATCTTAGAAAATCAACGCACATGTAAGTACTTTGGATTTTGAAATGGGTGCAATTGAAATGGCATGTGTTTAATAAAAATTCGCCACAACTCTATATTTGCAGATTTCTATGAAGAAGCATTTTCACTGTTGTACGATTTGACATCAAAGACCATTTCAGTGGATATGTGGCTAATGTTGGAAATTGTCTATAAAACATTCAAGGAAAGCGCGTTTGATTGTTTCTTGGACTTAATGCCAGCTTTGCACAACTATATTACAATTGATACGGAAGCCTTTTTGGCTGATGAACGTCGTGTAGGTGTTATTTTTGATATGTGCAAAGTCGTTCTAACATCATCGGAGGCCGGTGAAGATGCTGAATGTCATGCGGCCAAATTAATCGAAGTAATCATACTACAATGTAAAGGCCGCATCGATAAATGTATACCAATATTCACTGAATTGGCAGTTACGCGTCTTATGCAAGAAGTCAAATCATCCGAATTACGTACAATGTGCTTGCAAATTTTGATTGCAGCCCTTTACTATGATCCAGTATTGCTGATCAATATTCTAAAAGATCATCATCACAACAACGAACCACTAATTTCTCATTTTATCAAACAATGGTTAGTAAATTCATTCAAGGTTATACTCGGTATAATGTAAATTGTCTTGTATGACTTAATTATGTGTTGTTTTTGTACTTGATTGACAGGATTAAAGATACAGATTGTTTCTTGGGCATTCATGATCGTAAACTCTATGTTTTGGGTTTGTGTCAGGCAATCAGTTTGGGTGGAGAAAAGCCATATGTATTGAGTGAAGTGGCCGGTGAAATTTTACCATCGCTTCTACTCATTTTCGAAGGTTTAAAACGAGCTTATCAATCACGTGCACAAGAAGGCGAAGAAGAAGAATCCGATGATGAAGAAGGCGAAGATTTCGAAGGTATGTGTTCGAACAACATTCATTAAGTTTAAGCCATAAAGTTTACTGAATTATCGGTTCATTTTTTTACAGAAGCACTTTCTAGTGACGAAGATGAAGTTGACGAAAATAACACGTCTTATTTAGATAATATTAAAAATTTCGCCACCAAAAAGGCTAGTCAAAGTGGATTTGAAATATCGGCCGAAATTAAGGTGAGTTAGTTATATTGGGGATTTAAATAAGTTCGTGCGTAAGTAGTATTTTTCGCATCAGTCTACACTACATCCGCCGTCATGTGAAAGTACTGTCAAAATCCTATAAGAATCAACAGGTGTCATTTGATCAAAGTGTAAACAATAAGAATTTTTACAGCATTGAAAATGTCTGAGTTCATTTCGAAAAAACATCATTTGCGGGAATTTTTTTTTTTTTTTCACTTTAATCCAATCAGAAATGCATATAATCATTATGGTGCATTGAGATTAACAAGATCTGTCGATTTCAACACAAAAATGTTGAGTTTGGTGAACACTGAGTGGTGAATTTGGTGTAAAACTCCAAATTCACCAAAAATTTTCAAGTTTAATTATTTCACTCATTTTTGCAAAAAAGTCGAGGCCCGATCATGGTATAGGATTTCCTATATAAACATAGCTGGGCAGACTGAAAAATTCAGGGGGGGGATTGGGGGGGTAATTTTCTCAAAAACTCCTAGCAAAATAGGAAAATTTCATCTATGATCCAAAAACCCTAGCAAAATGAGAAAAATTCTATCCAAAATCATGAATTTTGTAAAGGGGTAACGCAAAAATTTGTTGATTTTGTAAAGGGGTAACGCTAAAATTTGATGCCTCAGGAGGGGGTAATCCCCCCCCTCCCCCCTGTCTGCCCAGCTATGTATATAAACCTTGTAACTAACAACACCTCTAATGCGCATTCCGAGTACTAATCGAAGTTTGTGACAATATGGTTGAAAGTGAGGTTATGTCAACCACTTCATTTTTTATTAATTTATTATTTTTGAATATTGTGCAGTAAATCTCACGAAACTACCGGAAACTAAAAAAAAAAACAAAGAATTTTTATTTTTAAAAATGTAAAAAATGAAAATATTTTTATTTCTACTGTTTTAATAAATATTTAATCGGTTTATCACGATTGTGACACAAAATCATGCATCATGCGGCAGCGTACGCACGCTTGGATCCGGATCTTACGGAGATCGTACGCATCTATCCTATCCAAAAATCATTGTATGAATATTTTTGAATATTGTGGAAAGAAAATCTCACAAAATTAAGAAACAAAAGATTTTTTATTTTCAAAAATGTAAAAAATTCAAATCTATTTATTTCTACTGTTTTAATTTAACAGTTTAACGCAGTTTAATCGATTCATTATGATTTTGCCAAACTGACGGCCATATTGTCACAAACTTCGATTAGCACTCGGAATACGCATTAGAGGTGTTGTTAGTTACGGGCATGATCAGGCTTCGAAAAAAGTCTATGTTAAATGCATTTAAAAGTTGTGGATTGACTAAATATGAACAATGCGATTGATATCAAATATTTACATTTCCTGAAAGTGGTGAAAATTGTAGCGAATTCGAACTGAAGGAAAATTTGGTTGAATGGCAGTACAAGACTAATCAAATGTCGCTCCAAATTTACAAATGGATTCATTTTCGTATTAAGTTGAGATTGATTGTGAAGGAGGGATCTATTTCAAGAATTTCAAGCATAAAAAACCATAGTGAGTTGAGCTGAATTACAAAAATCGACGTGAAATCCAAAAATTCGTGATTCTGCCAATTGGGTGATTCTGCCAAACTTGATCGAATTACAACTGATCAAAATTGTTACAGATGATCTTTATTGATGTCGAGTGATCGTTTTTGGTTTAAATTGTAGAAAAATTCAATTATCCAAATTTTTGAAAAAGTGCATTTTTCCACTTTTGCAAAATCATTAAAAATTGTTTGAAAAATAGATCGATAAAAAATCTTTATCAGCTGTACTCACTGGACATCCCTCTTTCTGAATACCACTCATTTCAACGGATGCAGTGCACCGTTTCTGATCAATTATGTGCAAACTTTTAAAAAGTCGAAAAATGACTCGGTCATTAGATACCTGAAAATAATTAACAGTCCTTTAGACATGGAATCCGAAAATTGCCTGAGAAATGGGAAAAAGTATTGGCTAGCGATGGACAGTACTTTGAATAATGTATTCATTCATTTAATCATTGAAATAAATACACAGTTTTGAAGAAAAAAAACTTCACGAACTTATATAAATCCCTAAAACATATACCAAATTGCTCGTGGTTCATCTATTTATTCGGCAAACAAAATTTATTTTTGATTTGTTTATTCTTTTGCACTTTAGGATGATGATGAAGATTCCGATGATACGGAAGAGTATTCAGATTTTGAACTTGACGAAACGACGTTAGAAACATATTTGACTCCAATCGATGATGAGGATGGTGACAATCCAATCGATGAATACATTGCTTTCCAACAAGTTATATTAAGTATGTTTAATCCAATTTTTTTATTCTTGCATTTTTACAATTTTTTTTAGATAAAATATTCGGTCTTCTCTGAAAGACATAATAACGCAAAATACAATTAAATGTATATACGTTTTTTGTTCAATTCAACAGATCTTCAAGCTCAGGATCCACAATACTATGCTCTAATAACTAGTAAATTGAGCGCTGAACAACAAAAAGGTTTAAATGATGTCATTGTTACCGCCGAACAGAAAAAAGCGCAATATAATTCGAAACAAATTCAAAAACAAGGAGGTAACGATCATTTAGCTCCAATCATTATGGTTTAATTCATTTCGTTTTATCCGATTCCATTACAATATTTAGTTCCATTTATGTGCTGATTAACATATAATTAATTTTTATTATTTTTTTTTCATTTTATATTCGAAAAATGTTTTCCTTTGATTGCTAACTATGTTAAAATCATCTTTTGGTTGATTTGTTTAATTTCATTACTCTGTCAAACCAATTTTGTATTTTGCTTTAAGTTATGAATTTTGTTATATTTTGATCAATCACATCATAATAAGCTTAAAACACAATTAGGATCTAAAGTCCATTCGAATTCAAATCATATTGGATCCTAAACAAGCCGATATATTGTATTTTTTTACAGGATACCAATTCGCAACACCAATGGGGCCACCACCAACCAATTTTAACTTCAGCTCTTAAGTTCATTAAAGAATATTATATATACATAACACACAAACAAACACATATACACATAGAAATGTGTGAAAACCACTTTAAAGTCCATTATTTTTGTAATGTGTTAGGTATTCACAAATGAAGAGGTCATTTCAACTTTATACCAATTTTCTTTACTAACTGAGAGATTAGAAGAAAAAAAACGATTAAATTAACTCCGAAAAAAAAAGAAAGATGAACGATTTATTAACACACGAAGAATATTAGTTTGATTCGCTTGATTTAGTTGTAATTGGCATTTAAAAATTTATTTTTAGCTTTCTGTTTTTAAATTACGAATTATATTGTAATATGCGAAAATAAATTGATGGAATATTATTGAGAATAAGAAAGGCGTAAGCCTAAAATCAAATGAAAACCCAAATCAACATTTTTTTTAAATTTTAAACGTAATGTTAACTTATTTTACAAAATCTTTTATTACCATCATTGAAATGCAACAAAAGAATATTTGTTATCGACACTTAACTTAGTTAAATAAAATCAAATTCAATGGTAAAATTAAATTGCATCATTTCAAATAAATATATGTCTTGTAAAATAGTTCAACTGAGATTAATTTTATATGCTGAATTGCGGTAAGTTTCAAAAAATAGTTTGATTCATTTGAGAAAAAGCCAGAGTCGAAATGTTCATTAACAAATCATTTTTATTGAATTCTTCATTTCATAATACTTAAATTAGGAAAATTTATCAAATACATTTTTTGGTACCGTTCCATTGTAAGTTTCTAAAATGATGGCCAAAGTTCTTGTTAAATTACATACAGTTCCACTGACAATGTGTGGAAAATCAATTTCATTCGCTTTTCTATCTTTTACATAAGAGAAAAGTAAACGTTTGCTAATATAATCACTATAATGAGTAAGGTTGCCGACTTCAATGTATCGTTTGAGGTGTGGTGAAAACATTTCTATTTTAGCTGATAAACATTCGGCAAGATTAAGGTCTTTTGCGGGTGTGTACACGATTCGAAAATGTGTATCAAGTTTTTGAAAAAGTTGTTCAATCAACTTCAATGTTTCGTTGAATTTTTCAAGCATCTGTTCCTCAGTGCCGGCTTGGAATATTTGTACATTGCTCGTTTGACAGACATTGTATAAACTTAATTTATCGTGATCGATTCGAATATATGTTTGTCCCGCTGAAATCCATTGGATTGGTAGATATGATGACCAAACTAGTAATTGAGTTAAATATCCCAAAAAACTTAACATTGAACTATTGCCCACCAAATGCGTTAAATTCGTATGATGTACATTGAGTTCATGTGGTACTTCAAATAATTTTTTTAATGGCAATGCCATTCCTTCCACCAAAATTGTTTTGGCAAAATCTGGATTGCCGAAATCCACGAATCCATGCTTTCGAAAATAATTGAGACAATATTCGGCAAATTGATGATCGAATTTAGCGGCGTCACCTTTTAGATAATAGGTCGTGTTATTAAAGTATTCAATGACATTGTCGTAGACCAAATGATGGGCACATTCGTCTTGTGTTATTGAGCCAAAACTCAAAATCACTTGTGCCTCTTGCGGTGTTTTGTTACTGAGCTCATTTGGTAAGGATAGAAATTTATTTACAAATTTCAATTCAATTTCATCTAGGCTGTTGGTACAATGTTGCATATCGGTTCGGAGTGTCTCCAATTCCAATGTGTATTTTCGTTTTTCATCTTCTCGCTTTTGTAGTGTTTTCCCTTTTTTTGCTTCTTTCAAATGTTTTGACGTTTCTTCTAAAAGACATTCAATTTCATCTTTTTTTGCTTTGATATGACTGTGAATTTCCCACTGAGCAAGTAAATCGTCGATGTTGAATTGATCAGAAAGTCCACGACGTTTTAAATTATCTGCTAATACTTTTGGATTCGTGAAACGATGTTTAAAATCTAAAATTGGTGTTAAAATTCTCACATTTTTCTTAATATTTTTATTACTAACGTATAAAGCTTGAAAAAATCGCCGCGATGAAAAGAAAACATTATTATTTGTTTGCAGTAGTCTTTTTAACATGATCAGAATCTAACTATGTTTACATGCTCTGAAAGTGAAACTATTTAGTTAAAATGTGACATAACCACAATTCATACAAAATTAATGATGACATCGTATAAGTTGTGTGAATTATATATAGAGTGCGACACAAAAATCCAATATAATTTCAAAAATGAATTATTTTTATTTCAAATGAATATTGAATATTAATGAATAAAATTAAAATTAAAATTAATAATTTATTCATGTTTATAAAAAAATGATATGATTAGATATGGCAGTATTCCCAATTTTCAATTGTATGTTTTTCTGGCGCTGTTGTCAGCCACACCGTTTGATGTTGTCGAAATACCTAGAGTTGATCAGAAGAAAAGAACGGAAAAAATGGAAATTAATCAATAGGTAATGGAACAAAATTGAAAATCAAATTAAAAAAAGAAAGTATATAGTTTAAGCTCGAAATCATTGTTTTAATTTGAGATTTGGTAGTAGCAGTAGTAGTAGTGGTGAGATCGTTGATCACTGTGAAAAGAGAAAAAAAAATGCCATTAATATGCTTACTATGGAATAGTACTGGTTGCTAAGGCCACTACCTATCAATCAGGAGAAAAAGAAAGAAAAGAAACACAAAATAAATCACCATTAATCATTAAATCATTAGCAATCTACAATGAATAAAACCAAAATAATAATCGATGTAATTGCAAACAACACTTACTCATACAACGTAAATTACTCGTAGAAGGATTAAACTACGGGAGATGACCGAGGAGAAAATTCCTTTAATTTCTGACGGGAAAGAATACGATTGTGGACCCGTTCATGGTTGGGGCAAACTAAGAAACTGATCGATACAAAAACGATACGATAAAATTAAAATTCATAGCACAATGAAGAAAATGCTATTCCAAAAAAAAAACACACTTACCGATCCTTTGTATTCATATTTTCAGGATTCTGACATCGCTTGTGGACAAACTGACGATTCCCAGTGTAAGAACTAAAAATGTGTCCATATTCTTCTTCGTCATTTGATGTGTCCGATTTGTTGTTTCTGAGAATGAATGAATGTTAAAAACAAAAAAAAAAATAAAATGTCTTATATACGTAAGATGAACTTTTCCGCACTGTGATCCACAACATGCATTTATTACGTTTATTTTACCGTAATTATGAATTCATGAGAAAACTGAATCTGATATAAGTTTTGCGATACAAATAATTTTTGAACGACTTTTCAATGCCTGTATGATATCGTAATCATGTGAAAGTTTGCAGATGTTATTTTTTTCACAAAAAACTTACATTCTGAAAGTTTGAAGAAATTTCAATAAAATTAAGTGGTACCTTCCATACAAAATTTTCGTTTTTGAGAAAAAAATCCAAAATTTTGTTCGGGAGGTACCCCTATTATCCATTGAAATCTCTTCAAACCTTCGGTATGTTATTTTTGTGTGAAAAAAATAACCTGTGTAAAGTTTCAGCTCATTACGATATCATACAGGCATGGCTTCCATAGAAAAATCCAAATTTTTTGAAATTTTTGTATGAAAAGTGTGTCGAAATATATTTGTATCGCATAACTAACGTCATATTCGGTTTTCTCGTACCCAAAAAACCCCAATACACATTTTTGAGTGTTTAAGAATACATTAAATATCACTTTTGGAAGAAAAATTGATTTTTTCCCATGGATGTCCATGGGCATCACACCAGACATGACACGTCACTCTTTCAACCAAAGTCGCTCAAAATCTAATGGTTTCTATTCCTCGGCACCCCCAATCATCCTGTGAAGTCAGATTTTGAATTACTTTTCTTGTTTGAAAGTTATCGTGTTAACAAATTTTTGCGTACAGGGTACAGCGTACAGGGTACAGGATACAGGGTACAGGGTACAGGGTACGCACATACATTCGGACATCGAAAAAACGCTAGATTCGTGTTCTCTGGCCCCAAAAACACCCAGAAAACACATTTTTGATGGGTGTTAATTTTTCGACCGATTCCAATACTTTACCTTACACACTAGGTGTGTGCGGAAAAGTAATATGAAAAAAAAATCTAAAAAAAAAAACATTCAATTCCATATCGTAGTAGTCAAAGTAGGCATTGAAAAATCATAAGAAACTGCGTCGCACTATTGGCTAACGGTACCGTAATTCACTATGCGCAATGATGAAATTCATGATTGAACATGATTTTTTATTATGTTCAATGTGTTTCTCTCTATCTCAATCTCATTTGAAAAAAAATCGAAAATTCTGTTTAATATTGTATTTTTTTGAAAAAACGAAAAGGAGTTGCCGGCTTGTTAGTTTGAAATGTCGCAGTAAAATACACTCACACTATCACCTTCAAATCGGTTTGTCGTGGACAGTGGCCGATATCGAACAGCGAATGCGTTAGCTACTATGCAAAATATGACAATTACCTTTTGTTGTTGTTACTGGTGTCGTATGTTCGTACATTCGCAGCACCTTATTGTCGCTGTGTAATTGCTCCTATGCTGTTGTGTGAACACCGGCTCATCTCTCTACTACATACCAAATCTCAAATATTTGTCAGCAATGTGTTTCTTTCGTACGTGTGTGCGTTTGTGTCTGGTCAAACTATATAGTTTCTTATAATAGAATATATGTGAATGATGATAATGGAAGAGAATGGAAAATGAATCTAAGGAATGGATCAGGAATTGTAGAGTAATGGAATATAGTAATTTTTAAGTAAGTATGCTTTGCTAAATACTTTTCCAGCGTAATGTGTAACAGTACTCCAAATGCGTTTAACTATCTCAAATTGATTTATATCAGTGTTATCTTCATTTAATGATACTTTGATATTTTCACAGCAATTTGTAAACTTGTTCAATGCTTCTTCATCATGTGCATTCAGATCGTTGAGTAATATTTTACAGCCTTCCAAATATAAATTGTGTACCGTTAAATTTTCCAATAGCAATTTCCATGTAACCTTCGTCAACAGTGAATTGCCTCTCAATGACAGTGTTTTCAATTTTTTTGATCGTTTTAGCGATTGTACGATCTGCCAGCAATCAACATCATTCAAATTCAATCCACACAAATGAATCTCTTCCAAATTGGAGCAATTGCCAGCATCCAAAGATTTTGTTAGTGCATCTACTAAGTTTCGTTCGGACATTTCTTGTCTATTCAATTGGCAACCACAAAATGACAATTTCAATTTCTCCAATTTACATGAATTCAGCTTTTCGACGGAATTTAACAAGCCAGTTGGTGTGAAATTATTGAAACTTAAATCAACATTGATCAATTGCGAGAATCGCAAATCAATGCTTTGGAGATCGGTTAACTCAGTGGAGCATAAGTGTAACGTTGTCAATTGATTTAGATTGCAACAGATTTTTTCCAGAGCAGTCAGGCTTTTATTTTGTAGCGGATTATGATTTAGAATGATGGTTTTTAATTCGGGCAAACATTCTGATATTTCATCATCAAATATGCTGCTGAAATGCTTTATTCCGGTGGCTGTTATCAAATTCCCACTAAGATTTAAGTAAACGATTTGTTTCATTGTTGGTAATGCTTGTACAAGATGTTTCATTCCTTCATCTTCTATAAAACTGTTTGTGAGGTCAATTTTGGTGATATTCGATTGATAGTGTAACGCTTTAAATAGTGGGCGACTGTATTTGGGCGATAATATCTGATCATTAATTGAAAGCCACTGCGTTGAGGCGATGAGTTCAATTTGAGATTTGATAAATGGATCGGCATCTGAAAATAAGAGTGTATTTTAGAAAAATCCATTGAGCAAAAGACACTTTTTGCCACTTACTGGTTTTTATTTGAGCGCAGGTTTCCATATAACGTTGGGCCAATGGGGGCATAATCCATTCCAAAACTGTCGATGATATCGTCGAATTTTCAGCAAATGCTAAACTTATTGGATCCGAATTTTCAAAAATGGCACCATCTTTAGTGGTCAACCGCAGCACTGGTTGTAGTCCTTTCAAACTATAAATTAACAAAAGATAACTTTTAATATATTATAAGCTTTTAAATTATAAAAACCAAATAAATTACCTATAATATCGTTTTGCTGCCTCTTCTGCCAACCATTCGATAGTCAAGTCGTTCGCATTATTTAAATTAACCGGTATGTTTAAATAAAGATCTGATACTTGTACTTTGACCGAATGTGATTGAATGGGTGTCATGTTAATAATTTTATGTGGCGAAGTAACCGTTGATGATACAGACGATAGAAATACAAGATCGGGTGAAACAGGCCGATGTCTTTGAAACCCGCTTTCGAGCAAAGATGATTGCATCATTGAATTTGATTCGCCCGAAAAACGATTGTTACTCGATGTAGAGGTACGTCGTTTTGTTCGGCGCACATTTTGATTCGACTGCATAAGAACATTGAATGCATTTCCTTCATCTGAATCATCGCTTAAAATCCCATTATTCGTTGATGAAACAACCATTGAATCGTTTAGAGAAGATCCCGAAAGTTTTTGTTTTTCTTTTTTACAATTTGTTGATTTATTTGATTCGGCCGAAAATGTTCTATCGTTTAAATATCGACGACGTTTTGCACTCGGTTCCAGGTCATTTTCGAGCCAATCATCGTCAGAAATTTCATTTGGAGCTAACATTGCCGATTTTTTTGCCGCCTTCTCCACTGGTTTCAATGATTTGGATATCACATTTACATCACTCGAAAAGGTTCGTTTTCTTAAATCAGACATCACTTTTCGATAATTAGTGCATGGTGATGTTGGAGACGATTCTCGTAAACGTTCTCGTTCTTGTTCTGGAGATGTTGACGGCAATTCTTTATTTATAATACTATCGATTGTATCAAATTCTTCACTTTCTGGCAAACCATTCTCATTATTATCATCTTCGCTTGATGTTGATTCACTTACAATCCGATTACGAGAAGTCATTGATGGTTTCTTCAATAAACTGTGATTTTTAGTTGATTGTTGATCTTGTGTATGTGATTCATCGACACAAGCACTAACACCGGCTTTTTCCAATTGTTTGTACATCCGTTCATAAATTATTTCATAGAAACTTTGCTCTTGGACATTTAAGATTCGATCCTTTCGCCATTTTACCAGCGTCTGTAATGCTGTATCACCTTTATCATTCTTTAACGTTGCATTTGCACCGCGATTCAATAGCAATTCAACCACATTTAGTACACCATTTCCACAAGCATCGTGCAGAGGAGTAAAACCTAATAATTTAGATCCAAAATAATGAAATTAAGAGAGAAGAGAACTGGGAGCTTACTAGCCTACCTTCACAGCCAGTTCCACCTTTATCATTGATCGTCGCACCATTGTCCAATAGAAGTTCCACTATTTCAGTAAATCCATGATTGGCGGCTTCATGTAATGGCAACCAACCGGCGTGATCACGAACATTCACCGGGTGCCCTTCAATTTAAAAAAAAAAACATAATTAATAACTCTTTTCTCACAATTCAATCTCATTACCTTGATCAATCAATCGACGTGCCATTGTTAAATTTCCTGCAATACATGCTCGGTGTAATTGTGATTCACCTTTTTCATTTTTCTTAACGGTAAAATATCCGCGTTTTCTAAGTGTACGTGGCTGATTGGTTGTAAGATTTGATTTTCGATCGTTTTCTTCTTCTTCTTCTTCATTTTCGTTTGCTGAATCGGACAACGTTTCCAAACATATGTCATCTCCAACATCTGGTGTATTTAATTCTTCAGAATCGATATCATCGTTAGTATCTTCATCATCGCCGCAATCCGACATATTAAAATTACTCGATTTCAATTCTTCTCTCATAATATCGGCCAATGTAGCCATTGAATGTTTCTCTCTTAATGTCAATTGTTTTAAAAGTACGATTTTCTCTTTCTTTTTATTGGCCATATTTTGTGCAATTTTTCTTGCTTCTTCATAGGTCCCATCAATCGTCCAAAAATCTTTATCAGCTAATGATTGTGTTTCCGCAATTCCAAGTAGTGTTGATAATTTTTCTTCTGGCACATCCTTACACAGCTCGTATTCTTTTTGCATATAATCCAATGCAAGATCATATTCATTCATATCACGATATGTTTGATAGAGGCTTACATAAACCGGAATCAATTGATGCCCATTGTCACCATTCTTTTTAGCCGCATCAAGCATTTTCTTGTAGTAACCAATAGCAGCTGAAAAATTTCGCAACTTACATGATCCATCTCCCAATTTTTCATATAATTTTTTACGTTCAATCTGATTGTCCGAGTCTATTGTAATAAGTGCATTTTCCGCTTTGCACATTGCAGCCACTTGGAAAAATATGAATAAAACGAATAAAATGTGAATATAATATTGACAAATTATTGCTCAGGTTAATGGTTTTAATCCTAAAATCATTGACAATTTATTAAGAACACTGTCCCCATCAACACCAAATGAAGATGAAGAAATTCGTTATTCAGGCGGTATGTTTGTGCACCACGTTGTCTGGATGCATGGGAAAACTATGTTATTCATAAAACAATGGGTCATAACATGCACATCCAAAATATGCAAGTACAAACTTCTCTGTACAAATTAACATCACCAATTTCAACATATTATGACATACTAAATATGTGAATCGGTTGCCTACTTTCATCGGATCTATGTTTTTATTTGAATTTCAATCTCTTCGAATTTAAATACCATTACTTAATATTGTCATCAATGTAACCATGATTATTTTTCTCTTTTCAAATTTGTTTCATATTTTTGTACAGATTTCAGTTTTATAGCTCGCCTGATGATGGAAACATTGTTTCCGAAAACGTTAGCATTTTATAAATAAAATCACGTTAAATTTGTTTAAGAATAAGAAGTTTTCTTCACTTATTTTTTCAATATAATATTGTTTGAAGAATCATAACTTCGATCACCAGATGGCAATACATGGTAAAAAATTAATGTCAATGTTCTTCATATAGTACACATTTGACATAAAAGCGTCTTACTGTATTTCTTTGTTTATTTTTTTATTCCTTATTTTAAAAGAATGCAACAAAGTGAATTCCGTGTAATCATAAAACATTATTTTTTGCGTGGAAAAACGCCAAAAGAAACGAAAGAAAAACTGGATAAATATTATGGTTCATCGGCTCCATCAAGTACAACCGTCAAAAAATGGATGGCTGACTTTAAATTTGGTCGTACCAGCACCAGTGATGCACCACGAAGTGGTCGCCCATCAGATATAACTACGCCCGATATGATTAAAGAAATCAATCGAATCATATTACAAAATAAGAAATTGAACATACGTGAAATTGCTGACATCGTCCACATTTCAACCGATCGGGTGTTGAATATAATAAATGAATATTTAAAAATGAAAAAAATATTCTCGCAATGGGTTCCATGCGTTCTGTCATTAGATCAAAAGCACGAACGTACCAATATTGCTCAGCAAAATTTGGAGATGTTCAAATTAAATTCGAAGGAATTTTTGAGTCGATTTATAACTGTTGATGAAATGTGGATACATTATTTTGTCTCAGAACAGACACAATCATCTGGTGCCGTGAGTGCAGCTAAACGACCAAAAAAACTTCAACCAGGTGAAACTGTTAGAGCGACGATTTTTTGGGACGCATTTGGCATTATATTTATAGATTATCACGAAGGCAAGCAAAGACCGACGACAAAATACTACTCATCACTATTAGATCGATTGAATACTGAAATTGAAGAAAAAAGATCGCATTTATCTGAAAAAGAGGTTCTATTTCATCACGATAATAACAAACTCTTCAATACAAAATTGAATGAACTACTCTTCAAAGTACTTCCACATCCGTCAAATTCACCAGACCTGGCACCAAGCAATTACTATTTATTCCCGAATTTAAAAAAATGGTTTAGCGGGAAAAAATTCTATTCAAAAGATGATCTAATTTCCGGAACAAATGCCTATTTTGACCGATTCATTCCGGAATATTATGAAGAAGGTATAAATATGTTGGAGAGTCGTTGGACTCAATGTATCGAATTGGATGGTGATTATGTTGAAGAATAAATATCAATGTTGACATAGAAACAAGACATGTTTTTCTTATTTGCCCAACACCTTTCAAATCGCCTACTTAAATTCGTTTTTAAAATGAAATAAAGTTTTTACCAATTTTCAAATTTGTTGCAATGGATTCTGCATCACTTTCTTCGGGCGTTTTCAATTTGTACGCTTTATGTAGAATTTGTTTGGCACCCTGGAAATCGGCCATTTTAATTAATACCTCAGATTTTGAAAGAAGCGTTTGGCATATGCGAACAACTCGATCGGTGGTTAAACGCTCGGCAATGTTTATGGCCAAATTAAGTAGTTGCAATGCTTTCGTCGAATCATTTAGCTTATTGAAATACATCAAACCGGCATCCAAATAACACTTGTGCAACAATTCCCAGAAATCGTTGTGCCGGCATATTGACATTGCCTTTTCAAAATACTTTATTGCTTCGTTGAACTCTTCTTTGCATTCATACGTTAGGGCCAAATTCAAATAAAGACGTGCCGTCATATCAAAAATCTCATGTTTTGGCAAATCGTTTAAACTGAAGAACGAAAAAGTAAAATGAAATATAGTATCAAATTTCGATCGAATTAACCTGAAATAAAATATTGTCATGTAATCTATACCTCTTGCAAATGAGCAAACTTTTTAAAAACTGCTTTTCGGCACTTTTTATACATTTTGATAAATCATCAGGTTTTTGCGGTGCATTCAATTGACTTTGCGCTTTTGTTAAATACACGCGTCCAATCGTTGCATATGCTCGTTGTTCTTCGATTTTGTTGTTTTGATCAACGGCTGTAGCTGCAGAATGGAAAATTAATTTATGCATTTCAACATATTATTTATATTTCACATATGGTAGAAAAAGCGCTCACTCAAATAGCTCAGTTCGTATTTGAGAGCATTGTCAAAATTTTCTTGTAACATATACATTTCGCCAATCATTCGATGTGCTTTGGCCTTCTCCAAGCGCTTTCCCAGCGATTCGTAAATATTAGCCTCCTCCTTATAACAGCCCAAGGCATTTTCATACTGTTGATTTTCGTGATACCAATCGCCCAGGTTTTTATATGCTGCAGCCAATTGAGCCGGATTATTGTCAATGATTGCCCGATCTTTTTTACGAATCAATCCTAATTAAGAAACAGAAAATTTAGTATTCCACATTTGATTCGTGTGAATTAGTATATATCTTTGTTTATTTTGATATCGCTATTCTAAAGGTCATTGTCATATCACTCACTGTCCAAATTCATTTTTGTTGAATAAGTGCTCAATCCACAAAATAATAATAATAATAATAATAATAATAATAAAAAAAAAAACAATTATTTCGAATACATGCTCTTAGTTTATCATTGGAAACACAACAAAGACAATTCCAATCAAACTGTGTACGCATTAAACATTGTGAAATTACACAAAGTCAAATAAATATAGCGCCAAAATGAAAACATGTTTGACATTTCATCACATGTAACATTAGTGTTTGGGTATTGTTCTCGTTTTCGCCATATTTGTATAATTTTCGAATATTTTTCGAAGTGTCAAAATGGAGCGAACACATTGTTTTTGTGACATTTTTGTTTTTTAAATTTTCTCTAACCATGCAAAATATTACGATTTTTGAGTGAAATTTATGAAGTAATATTTTTTTTTAGTAAAATGTGGTCAAGACTAGCTGCATCAGCGAATCGGACTTTAGTGTCCAAATCATTGTTTTGTTTACCAAATCGTTACATTCATCGAAATGTTGTACTTCAAAAGTATGATGTTCCCAAAAAACCAAAATCACGAAATCAAATACATGAAAATCAAGCGAAAAAAGTATTTACACCAATTCTTCATAAACCAGTGGAAAAAATCTTAATTGCACAAAATGATCCACGATCATTTGGAACATTAAAACCTCAAGTGACTGAACACGAACCAGATGAAGGAGATATTGCTGAAGATGAGCATTATCGGACGATACCACTTCGTCGTGATCAGTTGACTCAACGAAGATACGAACATATGATCAAAACATTCATTCGTGATAAACGATTGAAGGAAGCAATTGATGTGCTTGAAGTCCGGATGAAAGAGGATCGAGTAAAGCCCAGTTACTATATCTATCAATTGTTAATTATGGAATGTGGACGATGGGGCTATACAAAAAAGGCATTTAAACTCTATAGTCGAATGAAGAAACGAGGATTGGCTGTCACTGGGCCAACGTATGTGGGACTATTTAATGCGGTTGCAAATGATACAGTTCATCCGAAAATCGGTTTAGAGCTTGCACAAAATCTACGAAAACAAATGTTTCAAAAAGGTTTTAATGCAAATGAAATTATTTACAATACTATGATTAAAGCATTTGGCCGATGCGGTGACATTGAAACGGCATTTTCACTAGTCGATGAAATGAAAGAAAAAAAACTACGGTTAAAAGTCGATACCATGAATCATTTGCTGCAAGCATGTTGCTCAGATAAAGAATATGGCTTTCGGCATGCATTACTTGTATGGCATAAAATCTATCGCCGGAAAATGGTTCCCGATCAGCATAGTTTCAATTTAATGATTCGATGCACTCGTGATTGTGGCATTGGTGATATTAATGAAATGCAAAAGGTTATTGCCGGCATTTTAACAAGTTCAGTTAAGCTCAAAACAAACCAAGACAAAGTTTTACGCATTGAACAGAAGCCATTATTAATGCTTAACGAAACGGAACAAAACGCATCTGAAAATGAACCAAAACCTGAAAACGAATTGGTAGTAAAGGATGTTTGTGATCAAATGCCAAATCTTCTGACTAAGTTACCACATTTGGGCTCAATCGTTGAATTGTCAATGGTAAATTCGCCTTAATGTTGTTGTGGCTATTGCTTTGCAATTTTTTCATCATATGTTTCCGATTATTTTCCGATTACTTATCGATTATTTTAAATTTTATTCTTTTCTTTTGTGATTCTCCCCTTAGGTAAATTCGCCTGAAGATCGTCTCACACTACTTGGCGGGCTATCTGGTGTTATTGCCGAAATGGAAGCAACCAAATCACGACCGAATGTTAAAACATTCACACAACTATTGGAAATAATACCATCGAAACTCGAAGCTGAACATGAATTAATCCAAAAAATGAGCTACATGCGAGTGCGAGCTGATACCGATTTCTTTAATATTCTCATGAAACGACGTATTCTACGTAAGGATTATGATGGTGGAAAGGTAAATTAGGGAAAAACTATTTTTTTTCACTGTTTTTTAATATGCAATGCTCAATTTTATGCACAGAATGTTTTGGCAATGATTGACAAAGTGAACCTAAGTCCAGATATTGCAACCTATGGAATAATGGCGATGGGATGTGTGACTCACGAGCAAGCACTCGAATTTATCGAGAAACTCACTGAAAAAGGAGTCAGGTTCGAAAATATTTAATTTTACCAACCCAAAAATGACAAATCTCAAAATAATTTCATTTCGCTGATCTTTGTAGATTTAACAATGAAATTCTTGGAGCCTTGCTGAAAAATGCTACTTATAACAATGACTATGACTATGTTATTGATGTTTTGGAGTATGTGATGCACGAAAATATCAAACCATCGATTAGGTTTTATGAAATGTTAGCCAAATTTAAAAATGCTCGCTATAATTCATTGCAACAAATCGATGATGATGAGAAACTCATCAAATACAATCGATTTTATGTTAAATATAAAAGCTGGAAATCACAAATGGGATTGAGTGGTCTTTCAACTGATGAAGTAGTCAAATTACTGAGATCGCATCCTTGGAAACAACTAAAACAAGCAGAAGGCGAAGGAATTGAAGCAGTGAAAAATAAAAAAACCAGACGAATATGGAAGAGACAGCATACTGTTGCCAAATTAACATCAAACCGTCTTGAAAGAATGCATAATAATCATCAATCAGATACCGACAAAAAAGATACAACAAAACAAACAAAAAGAGGAGACAAACATATAGATGAAAACAAAGAGAATACCCAATGAAATTAGAATTAACTCTAGTTGTTATAAAAAAAATAAAACAAGCGAATCTATTAAACCAGTTCTATTTATTCACATTCGAATTCGAAATACACATTTTCGAATATCTCATATAACTGTCATATTCGATGAGCACATTTTTTTGACATTCCAATGTATTTGATTTTAATGAAATTTTGAATAGAAATTGTGTACACTTTTTTTCTGAATAGAATAGAGATTGTGATAAGAACATGTTCTTAAAGATAATATCGACTAATTTAAGAGGTTCGATTTCAACACGCAATGCCTTGAATATTGCATCGAATACTCAATCATTTCTTGTAACGAACAAGAGATTGCTTCAGTTAACCACAATTCGTTGTTCAACCAGGCAATATTCAATCGGAAAACCCACTTCAATTATTGGAAAAATTACGAATGAAAATGAGAATTTATCACGAGAAGAGATCCATATGCTGAACAAAGATTCGGACAATTTTGGAACATTGTCATCTTTTACGCCACAAAATGTAGAAGAACCGGGACCACTAAAGAAAGAACCCAAAAGAAAGCCGGAATCAAGACGAAAATTTCCCGGCAAAAAGTGGAGCCAACAAAATGAAATCTTATTAAAACAAGTGATAAACGAGAAAGGTGTTCACGAAGCGATTAAAATTTTTGAAAATCAAATGCTGAAAGAAAGAGTTTTACCAGAAACTCGAATTTTTGAATGGCTTATCGACGAATGTTTACGTATGAACATTTATGATAAAGCATTTGAATTATACGAACAAATGATGAGCCGTACCTTACGAGTTTCTCTATCGACCATTGAAAAATTAACGCTAGCCCACGAAGCAGCTCGATTGCATATTCAAAAAGCACATACGATAAGGAAAATCATAGCCGCACAACAAGATAAACCAAACGCAGTCATTTATAATGCATTGATTCGAATTTATATTCGAGCCAATAAATCGTCAATTGGCATTGATCTGGCCAATGAAATGGTACAGTGTGGATATTCATATGAACTTGATACGTTGAATTTATTACTTGAGGGTTCTGCATTTCATGGAAATGATGGATTTGTTCGTATGATAGAATTATGGCATGAAATTGTTCAATTAAATTACACACCAAATGTTCATACTCTAAATGCAGTTTTAAACAACATCCACATGTGCGAAATAGGCGATATCCAAAAACTCAAAGAGACAGTTAAGTCAATTTGTTCAAAATATGAACAAATTTCAGACGAAAAAATTCAAAATGTTGAGAAGCAAGTTTCGACCGATGATGGAAGACCAAATTTATTGAAAAATCCACCAACTATTGGCCATCTTTTGCCACTTGAATATGTAACTACAGCTGAAAAGCGTCTTCTCCTCCTCGGTGGTTTATCAGGAATTTTTACATTGATGAGAATACACAACATTTCACCAACGCTTGATACCGTCACAATACTTTTGAATCTTATACCAAATTCATTTGTTGCACAACAAAAAGTTATGCGGTTATTGAAAAGACACGACATCCTTCCAAATGCGGATATATTCAATATATTGCTAACGCAAGTTTGTTTGCGACAAAACTTTAATGATGCACAGGTAATTCGCATCGATTTAGTAAATTCTGTAAAAAAATGTATAATATGTAATATTTAATTGAATTTCTATAGGAAATCGTGGAAATGATGCGTTCTTTTAATATACAGATGGATTTAGTAACCTATGCACTGTTCGCGATGACCTGTAAAACAGCTGAAGAGGCTAAACAATTCTTCTATGAAGCTGAAAACAACAACATAGAGTGTGTACTATTTTCTTATTTAGAAAAAGACTGATCGCAAATATACTAAACTAAACTATTAAATGTTCCACAGATATAATTCTGATATATTAAATGCAATGCTGAAAAATGCGTGTGCTGCGCAGAATAATAATTATATAATAAGTATTATTCGTCAGATGCAATCTAAGGAAATTGAACCGTTGGACGAGTCAGTGGAAATGGTGGAAGCATATCAAAGGCAAATTTTTCGTGATATGCGAGGAAAACGCGTACATGATAAACACACCCGAAATGAATGCTTCAAGCTAACACGAGAGTGCAAACAATGGTTAAGACATTTTCGATTAGATAAACGAACGATCAACAAAAACCGATTGATTGAACCAAAAAAATATTCGAAAAAGTATGAACAAAGAAAAAGCAATGAGTAAAACCAAACAATTGTCTTATAAGACAGCAAACAAAAATGTAACGTTTTTTATCTATTTTAACGTTGAAAAATGTAACGTTTTCACCCATTTCGGTGGTAATTTTCGTGTCAATGGAAAGTTGATTATATGCATAGTTTCCAATAAAATTGTTCATTTATTACGTTAACATTTTACAATTTATTCACTTGTTTCTCCTATTAGTCTTTCAGTCTCATTCAAACTCACTCAAATGTGTTGCCGTTTTTGTTTGAATCTCAAAGCATACAACGGTATTGATACAATACGCGTTTTGCTGACTCTTACTCGTTTAAAGAATGAAAGTATGTGTAACATGAGATTCAAATGTTCGATTTTGTTTACATAAAATTTATATCAACAATTCTATCGACTGTTTTCGCTGTTTGATTGCATTTTGTATCACTTATATTCATACATATGTCCAGCATCATTAAGAAGGCAAGTATCAGTTGAATATTGAACATCACACATCGACAAAATTACAGTGTATTGACAAAAATGTTTCAATACACAAAATCACAACGAAATATAATGAGTTGCCATTCAGATTTGTTTTCTTTTCAACTGGAGTACACACAAAGTTTGTATTCACATTTTTCAGTTTTCAACAGAATTAATGTAGCAAAGGAATTTTTTGTGCTTCGATTTAACATGTATCACAAACAAACAAATCACTCTATTCAATATTTAACGGGATTGATTTTTTTATTGCGGCCAAAACTATACTGAGAAGTGCCGCCAGTTTAGAAAGAGATGATTTTTGGTATACAACAACAACAATCTCATACGATTGCATTCTCCGTCGCCTAAAATTCAGTTGGACAAATTCAAAAAGTCAAATATCGCTACGAATACAGAGTTTGTGTGTGTGTGTGTGAGGGAAAGTGATATAAACAAATTCATTCGGTGTTTCGGTTTGAAACATGCAATATTGAACCGGTCGCGCATATAAACAATTGAAAGTTTGTACACACACAAATGCACAACAGAGAGAGTCACACATTCACAAGGATAATTATGTGGCCATTTTAGTGTCAAACGGAATGTAGAGTATATCCATGATATTCATACGCACGAGTTTCTTTGTTCTTATTAGCGGTCAGAAAATGTGCGTTGTTGTTGTTTTTTTCAAACAAATTAAATTCAAAATGACAACCGATTTCAGTTTTCAACATGATAAAATAAGACAAATGGATTTTAGTGCTAATATTGTATCAGTGGCTTTTTTATGTCACAGCACAAAGAAACGAAACATGTGAGAGAGACAATATAATATGTGTTTGTGTTTGTGCTTTTGTTTTTCTGTAAACGAAATACTACTTCGAACGCAACAAACTGTAGAATTTTGACCGTACAGCAGTTTTCCCGACCACCGCTTGTTTTTGTGATGTACTTCGTCAGTGTTTTGATACAACGATATCGTGTGTTCACAAAATGTGATGGATATATTTGCGGAAATATTTTGTGTCTGTTTTTGTTTTCAATTCAAACGACAGAACATTTATAAAGTATTACTGTTAATATTCCAAATCATCGAAACACATTTGAAAAAAGAGCCATTTCGACAATTCTCTCGTTTGTAATTTTTCATGTTCCAGTTTAAAAATGCATTTTCGGCAGAGTTTTGTGGCAAATCAAAGTGGAGTGATTGAGTTGTTGAATGAAAATATTGTAAGTTTGTTTGCATATATTGATTTATCAATGGAATCGTTTAATTCCAGTCATTTTAGTTTTCGAGGCTTGACTTTTTGCAATACAGCAATAATTTGCTATAAATAGCGGTGAATTTCTGCATTCATTTTAGTTCAAAGTTACCGTTCGCGCTGTAAAGCTATTTGAAATACCATTGAATTTCATCATCAAGTCAGAAAAATAACTTTAAATTGATAATAATAATTGAATTTCGTCAGGCAGTTTACAAGCAGAACCAACAAAAACACATTAAAAATTACAATTTGAATTGTGAAATTGATTCGTATTGATTGCAACCGAAAATAGTGATAACTATCCCATAATATTTGGAAAAGCACCAGAAATTGTGATTGATTGATTAAACCATGAGTAGAACAAGATCAAGAGAGGATCAATTTAATATGTAAGCAGTGTTTTTCGTAATATTTATTCTGTGTTTTATTTTTCATTGGATTTTCGATGCAATTTCGCGATATTGTTTTGTGACCAGTTTTTTTTAAATAAGTGTGTATGTTTTTCTTTGTTTTCGTTTCATTTATACAGTCCACCCGAAAGGAAAGACGACATTAAGAACCTTGTAGTCATAAAACAAGGCGTCAAGTCAATCATACGGGAAGAATATCGCGACAGAGTGATTCAGTTTTTGGATCATCGAAGCTACAAAATAACACTGATTTCGTCACTGGCATCATTGTTGGCGTTGTACAAAATTCAGGAAGCCATCGATGATGGGAACCAACAATTTTTTGTACAAAACGGTAAAACATTTTTCATCGAGTGCTTTAACGGTGTTTTAGCCGATAAAGTCGACAGAGAGGAACTAATGCCGCCAGATTTTCGTAACATTGTCGAGGCACACTTCGGTGTAGAGAATTTTGAATGGCCCGATAAAGAATGCCTGAGAAATGGTTTTAATTATTTCTACCAAGATCACGTTCGAAATAATCAGACCAATCTCAACACTCATTGTTCAGAACATGTTGAATCGTTTTTCAAATGAAACGCTGGTATTATAACATGAATATCAATGGCCATCAATACTATGGATCAAAATTTGACGGCATCGATATACGAAACGCAAAAGTTTACGCCACTAGTAACAAAGATCTGACACATGGTGATGTAGAGAGAACAAATAAGATGAACATTTTATTGTATGAACTGGAAAGAATCGGTTGGCAGTGTCAAAAAGTTCATAATGAACAATTGGTTCCGGTCACTGTCAATGAGTTCGTTAAGCTTAACATCCTAGGACAATTGGTTCCAATCACTGTGGATGTTCGGTCAAATGCAACGCCAAATCGAAGTGTTTCATCAATATTCACAACAATGGCATGCATTCCGTCGCGATGGATTGATAACGAACAATCGACCGCCAAAAGTGAACAATTTCGCACTTGTCCCGTTATGCCGATTCCAACTGAAAAACGTTCGATTGGATATGACAGATATGTATTATTTGGCGAACACTGTACTAGGAGTGGTGCCAAGTTCTCGCAATCCGCTGACCAATCGAATGAACAAATACACACTGGACTATTACTTGTACGGCCATCGAGATGAATTGTGGAATTTGGTTTTCGACATGGATAAAATCAAACAAATCGGCAAGCAGAAGCGGTTTCACTCGCAAATCATCACCAATAGTGTTTGCGTATCAATATTGTACGAGAAGCCAGCGAAGGCTTGGGTGGAAAATTCGGAGCAGGCCACATTTAACAACATGACATATGCTAGTGCCATCGATCCGAACGAGAAAACGTGGGTGGCCGTGGTGCGCCGCCATATCAAGTCAAACATTGAGGTAAGTTAAGTTTGTTA